ACATAGTGATACTTTACGATATACTGTATTGACAATATCGCAATATTTTAGCGGTAGTTGGCTGTACCTGCACCAAAACACCATTATTGTTCCTTCATAGCTTGTTCTCAATCTTTTCACATTGGGAGCCAATTTGTTTTCAGCACTTTTATTTCCATGACTGATCAAAACTCGTTCTCATGGCTTTCTGATCCCTCTGCAACAGACATATGGTGCGCAATAAAATCACAGTATCGAATCGCAATACGTATAGAATCATGAGACTCGCAATGCTGATGCATATATCTTATCGTGAGGTTCCTGGCAATTCCCAGCCCAAGTTCATTTGCCACAACAAATCTCTTCGCTAGCAAACGCGATGTCTTCTCCAAAACGGCAATGTGTCTCCAGCAATGTTTACTTTTTTGACGTTCTATGGCATCTCCACTTTCCAAGCATATATGACCACATGTAATATTTTGGTAAGTGATGCAAATAGTGAACTATGTAGGGCCAGGATGTAAAATATATGTAGCTGCAGCAATTTCTCTTATCTGATATGGTAAGTAATGGGGCTTAATTTATAGCTCCCTAAGAGTTTGACGAACGGGTCCGTGAACGCGATTCCAGATATATTTACCTCTGAATAAACTGCCTTTATTACACCATATCCACATCCAGTAAACTTGTGATTATCAACACTAACCTCATCGTTGTGGCGGCGGACAGCTAGCCTGTATCCCTCGTCATCCAGTTGAGTGAGTGGCAATGTCTTTTTTCGTTCGTACCAATTTTTGGAAAATCCTCGGGTGTAGGACTTTCCGCCTTTAGTAGAAACCTGTTGAATTATTAAATTTGGTCTGGGAGGTCCTAATTGTTTCGTTGCCAATTTATCTTCATTTGTTCGCCGACAAAAAGGAACTAATTTCAAACAATCCACTCTTTTCTCAGTTACGTTCATGGTTACGTAACGTATGACGAAAGCGCGTAAGTGCAAGCCCACAGACACCCATTGAGATTGTATTGAAGGCTCTGAAATTTGAAAAAAATAGATTTTACATGGGAGTCTATGACAGAAGTTCTGGGCGATTTTCAATCTGACTGAAATCGCCCCAAAAGGGGGTGGAGCCATTTGAAGCACGACTTTAGCCTGATTCGACATTTAGTGGCAGTGTGGCACTGTGGCAGATCAGACGTATAGATTACAACACTGATAACTACTGTTGCCGTGATATAATTGATTAGAAAAAAAATCCCTTCCTTTTCCCGTTTGGCAGTGCGTCGCCCATATCGCCCTATTGAACAGGCCGTCCCTGCACTTTAGTCATTTAGCAGACGCTCTTATCCAGAGCGACTTACAGTTAGTGCATACATCATTTTTTTATTTTTCATACTGGCCCCCCGTGGGAATCGAACCCACAACCCTTGTGCTTTGGCAAAGTGGGTGGGGTTATATCCTGCCTGGTTGGCCCTGTCCGGGGGTATCTTCGGATGAGACCACAGTGTCCCCTGATACCCCCCTGTCTCATCCTCCAGTATCTATGCTGCTACAGTGGGGAAAAAAAGTATTTAGTCAGCCACCAATTGTGCAAGTTCTCCCACTTAAAAAGATGAGAGAGGCCTGTAATTTTCATCATAGGTACACGTCAACTATGACAGACAAAATGAGAAAAAACATTCCAGAAAATCACATTGTAGGATTTTTAATGAATTTATTTGCAAATTATGGTGGAAAATAAGTATTTGGTCAATAACAAAAGTTTCTCAATACTTTGTTATATACCCTTTGTTGGCAATGACACAGGTCAAACGTTTTCTGTAAGTCTTCACAAGGTTTTCACACACTGTTGCTGGTATTTTGGCCCATTCCTCCATGCAGATCTCCTCCAGAGCAGTGATGTTTTGGGGCTGTCACTGGCCAACACAGACTTTCAACTCCCTCCAAAGATTTTCTATGGGGTTGAGATCTGGAGACTGGCTAGGCCACTCCAGGACCTTGAAATGCTTCTTACGAAGCCACTCCTTCGTTGTCCGGGCGGTGTGTTTGGGATCATTGTCATGCTGAAAGACCCAGCCACGTTTCATCTTCAATGCCCTTGCTGATGGAAGGAGGTTTTCACTCAAAATCTCACGATACATGGCCCCATTCATTCTTTCCTTTACACGGATCAGTCGTCCTGGTCCCTTTGCAGAAAAACAGCCCCAAAGCATGATGTTTCCACCCCCATGCTTCACAGTAAGTATGGTGTTCTTTGGATGCAACTCAGCATTCTTTGTCCTCCAAACACGACGAGTTGAGTTTTTACCAAAAAGTTTTATTTTGGTTTCATCTGACCATATGACATTCTCCCAATCCTCTTCTGGATCATCTAAATGCACTCTAGCAAACTTCAGACGGGCCTGGACATGTACTGGCTTAAGCAGGGGGACACGTCTGGCACTGCAGGATTTGAGTCCCTGGCGGCGTAGTGTGTTACTGATGGTAGGCTTTGTTACTTTGGTCCCAGCTCTCTGCAGGTCATTCACTAGGTCCCCCCGTGTGGTTCTGGGATTTTTGCTCACCGTTCTTGTGATCATTTTGACCCCACGGGGTGAGATCTTGCGTGGAGCCCCAGATCGAGGGAGATTATCAGTGGTCTTGTATGTCTTCCATTTCCTAATAATTGCTCCCACAGTTGATTTCTTCAAACCAAGCTGCTTACCTATTGCAGATTCAGTCTTCCCAGCCTGGTGCAGGTCTACAATTTTGTTTCTGGTGTCCTTTGACAGCTCTTTGGTCTTGGCCATAGTGGAGTTTGGAGTGTGACTGTTTGAGGTTGTGGACAGGTGTCTTTTATACTGATAACAAGTTCAAACAGGTGGCATTAATACAGGTAACGAGTGGAGGACAGAGGAGCCTCTTAAAGAAGAAGTTACAGGTCTGTGAGAGCCAGAAATCTTGCTTGTTTGTAGGTGACCAAATACTTATTTTCCACCATAATTTGCAAATAAATTCATAAAAAATCCTACAATGTGATTTTCTGGATTTTTTTCCTCAATTTGTCTGTCATAGTTGACGTGTACCTATGATGAAAATTACAGGCCTCTCTCATCTTTTTAAGTGGGAGAACTTGCACAATTGGTGGCTGACTAAATACTTTTTCCCCCCACTGTATAGTCTATGTGCCGGGGGGCTAGGATCAGTCTGTTATATCTGGTATAATTCTCCTGTCTTATCTGTTGTCTTGTGTGAATTTAATTATACTCCCTCTAATTCTCTCTAGCTCCCTCTATACCTCCCCTCCCGGTGGACCTGAGCCCTAGGACCATGCCTCAGGACTACCTGGCCTGATGAGTCCTGGCTGTCCCCAGTCCACCTGGTCGTGCTGCTACAGTTTCAACTGTTCTGCCTGCGGCTATGGAACCCTGACCTGTTCACCGGACGTGCTACCTTGTCCCGGACCTGCTGTTTTCGACTTTCTCTCTACCTCACCTGTTGTCTCGACTTCTGAATGCTCAGCTATGAAAAGCCAACTGACATTTACTCCTGAGGTACTGACCTGTTGCACCATCTACAACCCTGCTGGTCATCTATGAACATTTGAACATCTTGAAGAACAATCTGGCCTTAATGGCCATGTACTCTTATAATCTCCACCCGGCAAAGCCAGAAGAGGACTGGCCACCCCTCAGCCTGGTTCCTCTCTAGGTTTCTTCCTAGGTTCCTGCCTTTCTAGGGAGTTTTTCCTAACCACCGTGCTACTACATCTGCATTGCTTGTTTGGGGTTTTAGGCTGGGTTTCTGTATGGCACTTTGTGATATCTGCTGATGTAAAAAGGGCTTTATAAATTCATTCATTTGATTGATTGATTGATTGATACTGTTTATAATTTTAACTTGTCTTAAAGCTTTTATGATAGGCCTAGTAGGAAGATAGGTTATTGGCCATTTGGTTTTCAACCTCATGGAGGGTCAAGGTTTTTCCGCCCAGCATGGATCATTTATTTCTTAATAAGCTTAAACCTTATTAAAGTTGTCATTCAATGCTTCTATAGGCTATTAATGTTGTTTGTTCTCTCTTATTATTAGTTCCCTGTTTACCTTTTGTTTTTAGGCTATTCAAACAACGTTTTGAGATGGAACTCCGTTAGATTCTTGGATTCATTCATTGTTTTATCAGGAGATAGCCATGTATAAAACGATGAATGTGGATAGCCCAAAGTCATTCAAAGCCTATCAAATGGAGAGAGAAGGAAATATAGCCTATGTTTTTTTAAACCACTAGACACAATATAGTTAGGAAGTGTACGTTTATAAAAATAAAAAAATGGAATAGGTTTAGGTTTAGGCTATAAGGCCCATGCATCCCATGCATCCGACAGAGTGTGAGAAGCAATATTTTCTGACTTTTGCACTGCTTTGGTGGAATTCTCCGCTCTGTCTCGACTACATTCCTCTCTTGCGTTCTGTATATCACCTATTTATTGAAATAGGCTATCGCGAATAGGAAAATTACTAGAGTGCTGCCCTGCTGTGCACTGCTGACACCGTTTTTTACTGCGCGCCGCCAGTAAAGTTCAAATAGGCTAAACCGTCATGTCACATCACTATGTCGTCACCATCGACAATGGCTGTCAATCATCGTCGATAGATGATACTATCGTAATATCGGCTAACTCTACTGGTAAGGCATTCCGGATTATAGATTTGCCTTCGGTGACGGGAAAAGTTTCTCAAATAGGTAAACCAGAGGGCTGGTAAATATGTTTTCGGGGTACTGAACGTCGCCTTCAGCGACCGGAGATCTCTGTACAGGTCTCCCGGAGCGAAGAGGCTATCCAATTGGTACCTTTTGTATAGCTCAATCGGTTGGTACGTTGTCAAGGAGGGCGGTCACGTATGTTGCGAGGCAGAGGATCACTGGTTCGAGCCCAGTATGGGGCAGTCGGACAGTGGAGGAAGCTAAGCTGTTAGCAGCACATTGACCGCCATTACACGTGCTAACATTGTGATGTCATATTCCAGAATAGCCTGTATGAGCATGCCTACTGTGTTCCAGAAGCCGAAGCAGCGTGTGGTGGAGGGCTCTGACGGTGTGTTGGCTGTGGTTCTAGAGTATGACCATAGATTCGCCACCTATGGCCAAGAGTTCCTCTTCTATGACTACAAAGAGCCCCTCACTCTCCCAGAGGACGTGGCCTCACAGAGTTTTTACATTGTCCTAGCTGACCCTACCTACCTGTTAGAGGAGTGCCTCACCAAGGTCACCCAGACTGTCAAGTACCTGGCCAAGGTCAAGGTGCTGCTCTGCACTGGTGAGCCTCACATAGCTGTGCGCATTGGCTTGTGTCCTTCTCCACACCTGAAACATTACACATTGTATTCAAACATATTGATTTATGGTTCTCTCTGCAGCTTTTTGATCTAATCCCTCCTGCTCCACCTCTCCCTCATCAGAAGCCATCATGGAGAAGCATGCAGACAAACGTATTGGTCTGAAGATATACAGCTTCCTCCCCAACCACAACCTGGCCAACGAGTTCCGCTGTTTCACCAAATACCCCTCAATACTCCTGTCCTGACAGCGCTCCTGCAACCCTTTGATTATAAATGTCCTTACTGGCTGGTGATGTCTGACATTCATCCATCCCACAGTTCTGACTTGACTGATGTTGTCTGTGACTGTCGCAAGGAAGGCCCATCTTGTTGGGCAATGTCCATTGCCTGTCAGACTTCCAAGGTTTCATTTTGGGGACCATGGTAAAAGACTGGGAGGCTTGTTTTTAATAGTATTTCTTATCCCTTATGACGGAATTATGAAGTGAGTAATGGTATTCATGTATGCTTGACCTCAGTGTAAATAATATCTCATATATACACAGAAAAAAAAACAGTTATAAAAACCTGTCAGATGTCATTTGCAGGGAGGGGCAGGAAACATGCTTAGATGATCATGTAATATAATTCCATTCACCAGCAGGTGGCAGTGTGTGTCAAGAGTTATATTACTGTTCAAAAGCTGCTGCTGCTAGGGACACTGTGTTGTGTTATACAGCCAACCATACATTTTCATACAAATTATACAGCCCTTTATTCTATTGCCTTGCTGTCCATGGATAGTTTATATGTTCTTGTCGTTGGAGCTGAGCTCGCCAGCTTTTGGCTGTTCTCTCTCCAGGCTCTGGTTGCTGCTCTGCGCATCTCTATCCTTCTCCAACAGGGGAACACAGGTGCACCCCACGGCCACAGATACGTAGCTCTCTGTGTATGAGTGGCGCCCCCCGACGCAGGACCCTGTGCGTCGCAGGATGACCGAGGGCATGTACACAGGGGTGCTGCGGTACTGGTTGCTCTCCTGACCAAACGGTCCTATCAGGCAGCCTTTACACAAGCAATATGCCTCGGGTATGAACCTGGGATACCTGGCGGGGTCGTGGGAGATCCTGTTGAAGGAGAAACATAGATAATTCTATTGACCCATTCATAATTACTGTGGCCCACCTGACATTTAGACCCATGTATTCCTACCTGTATGCCCAGGGTGACAGGCTGAGAAGGTTGACGGGGATCCGAGACTTTCTGTCGGGGACAGGGCGTCCCGCTGACGGGCAGGTGAGATTCTGCCGCTCCAATGGTGCAAGCTGTAGAGTGTGGTGGAACGCACTCAGGACTCCCACCGAAAGCCGCCCAAACATCTGCTCGAGGATCTCCTCCGGTAAGTCCAAACACTGTCGGCTCCGGGTAGACTTCTTGGACACCTTGGCTTTCGATGCCACATCGCATAACAGCCCCAGAAGCAAAAACACGAAAGATACTCGACCAAACATCGTTGCGCACTTCTGTTGGACACGAAATGATTCACTTTTACTGCAAATAAAAAAAAACGTATTGTCGGGCTATACAGCATCGGTTTAGAACCCCTTATATCGTGTTTAACGTCTGCGAAAACTTCAGTCTATTTTAGGGTCCTCCCATGTAATTATTGTTGCGCAGATGGAAACATTGCAGTGCGCTCTGAGTCACTCGAATGGTTGCGGAACTGCAGGTACTCATCCAGCTTTTTTCCACTCCGAAATATTTTCGGGTTAGAATGTTGAACAGATGGGCTGGCACTGACAGCTGTGATAGGAAATGTTCGGTTGATTATGACAAGAATTCATCCACCTGCGCTCGGGCAAGGTTCATACTTTCAATTTAAGATAGCTACAGTGCCTGGATACAGCCCTTAACTGCGGTATATTGGCCATATACCACAAACCCCCGAGGTGCCTTATTGCTATTATAAACTGGTTCCCAACATAATTAGAACAGTAAAAATAAATGTTTTGTCATACCCGTGGTATACAGTCTGATATACCACAGCTTTCAGCAAATCAGTATTCAGGGCTTGAACAACCCGGTTTATTATTAATATTTTCACCACCCAAACCCATGCATCCAAAATTAACAAGAGCAAAAATGTATGGTGACATTTTTTAAAATCTGAAAATAGACAAATCAGATACATATGTGTACTTCTTTGCCTCAGTCACAACACAAAAAGACTGGGAAGCCTTGGGAATTACAATAAATAGTGCTTTGCAATATAAACATCTGTATAAAGTATACATTTAAATGAGGTGCCTCTAAACTGGATTAAAACTGTATTACTGTCCTGAGGTTACCATAGAGTTAATAACAATGGATTTTCCAAGAAAGTTTCCAGGTGATAAAATGCATCCAGGCTAGCATATGGGAAAATAATCTTATCAGTTTGCGCCATAGGTTTTCCTGAATGTGTTATGGAGGCTCGAGTGAAACTCAGATTGTTTCCGTTTATTAATATAATCTGGTGGAATGTGATGTATAGATACTTTGAACTTTTGTTTAGAAAACTCAATTAATTTAGGGCGCTTTCACATATACCCTTATGATCCGGATCCGTGCTATAGTAATGGGTCCAAGATCCAGGACCAGAGTACCAGGTATTGTAATGCATCAGCGCGAGTTGCGTGGAGCTTTTTTGCCCATTGTAAACAAGCTAGCTAACTAGCTCGCAAACGTCATGTAGAATGTGCGGTTTGCTAATCTCACCCTGAAACTGTTATTTTCAGGTCTTGTGAAAGCAAAAAATATTCTGTCGATTTCTTACAAATGCTCCAGGAAACGGAACCAGGATACCGCATTTCATATGTGAAAACGCCCTTACTCTCAAGGAGGAGGGGAGGGGAAAATCAGGGGAACTTGAACTGGATACTCTGATAGTAGGTCGTCTCCCAACTCTTCATCGGGAAAGTCGTCATCCTCTGTGTGCTTCTTGGCTGCAGTCTTTGGTCTCTCCCTCTGAGGTCCCAGTGGATCCACATAGGAGGCATCTACACGCACACAAACACATTTAGTTACTATTGATCATCATATTCCACACATGATCACTCGCCATTTGTGGCAACTGTGTACCACACTCCCTGCAGATACTGTGGGGTGTCCACAGTGACACCCACATTAGAACTCCACGGTAAGTGAAATGTATAAACTGTCCTAGCAACACAGACTAAAAACATTGCAAGGGGAACAACACTCAAGACCAATCCCCTGAAAAGCAATGTTAGGAAAGAGAGGGTAAGTTACTTCATGAAGGTGACAGCTGTGTTAGTGCTGACAGAGAGATAGAGTGTGGTCTATGGTCCACTTCCTATAGTCAGATGGATGGTATACTGCTTCTCTCTTTATAAGTCTGTCTGTTTAGTCTGGGCCTCAGTCATGCTTCTGTCCACAGGGTGTTAAGATGGATCAGGGGCCTGACGTGAAAATGATGGCAGACAGGAAAGAGTTGGAACACCATTGAAAGACAGAGGTAGAGTTGTACAATGAAAGACAAAAAAAACTACACTGCAAGTCTTCACGGTTGAAGGTGGAGGGAGTGTGTGTGTGTCTCACCTATGTCTCACTGGCTGCTGACCTCGTACAGTTCGTTGGAGCCAGGCAGCGCCCTCATCTTGGCGCTCAGCCTAGGCACTGCTGCCATGGCTGCTGTGTCCACTGTCTGAGAAAACACAGACACAGGATTAACCTGCTTGCCTACTGTTGGAACTGGCCCCTTCATTACCCTGTAACTGCATGGATCACATTTAGCAGTGATTGTTACACTCTGTTAGAGAGGGATAAACAATGAGAGGCTGTTTAATACCACATGCTTCTCTGTCTGTGTGTGTTTGAGAGAAAGGAGGAGGGAGAGGGAGGGAGAATATGTGGCAGCTCTAGGCTCAGATGATCGGTCCGTATGGCGGTCCAGAAAAGTGGGGGACAGGCAAGAGACACTCACATCTGGCAACCAGGTAGTCATGGAAACAACTCCAACCATAAAAACAGGAAGAGGAGGAGGCCCAATATTCCGTTGGCCCTCAAGATCCACAAATCCCAGCCTTCCAAAGGCCCCACTCACCAAAAAAATGCAGTGAGATTTCCAGCGGAAAAGCAACCCCTTTTTCTGCCTCAAAACGGAGAAGAAATATGTACATACCATGAGTGTCTAGCTATATATTTCCCTGTCAAAGGGTCAGCTGTCGTCTGTTGGGGCGATCAGATCTCCCTGCGCAAGAAGAGGGCAGCTTACACACTTAGATCAAAGGGAACCATTGATTTGGAAGTGTCTGTGAAATGCTTTTAAACCATACTGGATCCCCAGTGACAGAGTAGTCATAAGTGGATGATGACTTTGCTTAAGTAAAATAACCGTAATAACAACCCCAGTTTTTAAATAACAACCACTCCAAAATATGAACGTACAAGCACTATATATTCAGAGTTAGTAGTCAAGAGGGTCAAAAGAGGGAAAACTCTTAGGTGTTTTTCTCAAATATCTGAGAGCGTTTTCAGCTCTTTTTCTCTCTTTGGAATGTGATCAGTGCAAACATTCTCTTGAGGCTGCAAGTTGCAGGAGGGAGTCATTCCTGGCATACACAGCAGCCCGCTAGAAGATTTCTGGGACGCTGTGAATTGGGAATGTAAAGCTAGACTGGAGTTCAGTCATTGAAATTGAGTATTCAAATGTTGGTGTTTCTTTTTCTAACATACTGTAAAACTTGTATTCCTTTACTCTCACCTAAACAGTTACTGTATACCTTAACACTGTCACCTGGCTTAGTGTATTTGACAAACGACAAAAAAAGTATGTAGTTAGATTACTTTCATGAGTAACGGAGTAAAGTAACGCGCTACCTCTCAAATTGGGTAGCATTATTACCGTTACTTTGTCAAACAACGCGTGCGTTACTTTCAGAATCGTCTCTCTACCGGGCGCGTTTCCATGATCCGATCACGACTTGTTTCCTCATTTAGTTCTCGAGGGAGCGGAGAAATGGTGTTTGGAGAAATGTCATGACAGTTGTGTCCATAGAAACGTATAGAGGGCGCACATCTGATCTTTGCCATTGATCGCTTCTGTGATAGCAAAGCCCATAGAGGTCTTAATAATAATAATAATAATAATATGCCATTTAGCAGACGCTTTTATCCAAAGCGACTTACAGTCAGACTTAACCAATCTAGTGGCAAGTGTGCCCTTTATACATCTCTATGGGTCCGTGTACGTAGTCTATACAAGAACTGGCAGCTCGAGAGAGAGATTTTGAATGAAAATATAGGAAATCTGTACAGATTACTTTTTAAATAAAAAATAATTAGATCAATTTACCGCAAAATCGTTTTTTTTTTTTTTATATCTCAAAAACTTGTGATGACACAGAGGACATTTTTTGTTGAGCAAGATCAGTGGCAGCCAAGGAAAGTTGGGGAAATAATTGGGTGACATCTTCTGGTCATAAATGTGAATTAATACCCAAGAAGACTCGAGGCTGTTATCGCTGCCAAAGCTGCTTCAACAAAGTACTGAGTAAAGGGTCTAAATACTTATGTAAATAAGGTATTTCAGTTTTTTATTTTGGACAAATTTGCAAACATTATGGGGTAGTGTGTAGATTGATGAGGAAAATGTTTTATTTAATCAATTTTAGAATAAGGCTGTAACAAAATGTGGAAAAGGTCCATGGGTCTGAATACTTTCCGAATGCACCGTATGTAGCCAAGCAAACGCATCTGACCCTTTATGTGCCAATGACAATGACGGTTTCAGAGTAATAATTGTTTTCACATGGTCAAGCCAGAATAGCAATGTGTTTAACTTTTTCTAATTAGTACAGAAAAGTGACATAGCAATTGTAACAGCTGGATTAAAAGTATTGGAAAGGGGCACATACTGCATAAACTCTACATCTACACAAAGAAGGCTTGCACCGATGGCCTTCTTAGGCGGGGTGCGGACCTGGTCAGAAGTACCCACTGTCTAAATACATCCAGGGACAGCAGTGGGGCAAAGAGTGATTATAAAATATTAATTGAATTTAATAAGTAGGAAAGGGTTACTATCAGAAGAGAAACTCCAGGTCAGAGATGTAATGGAAATGTATGGGGTTAGGATGAGCTCCAGTGGGATTAGACAGATAAACATCATGTCATACTGAAAGTCTGAAACAGCTCTTTTTCTATTACTATCTAATGTCTATTCGTACCAATGACCTTCTTAGGCGGGGTGCGGACAGGGTTCAGGGTGCCCACTTTCAAGACAGCAGTGAAGAGAAAATATATAATTGGTAAACTTAATTTTTGTGAGGGATTACTATCCAAATATAACTAATCAGGGTTGGAGATGTGTGTAGACATATGGAGGTTTTCAGGTTCCTGTTGCAGCCGGGTCAATCACCACTGCTGGCACTGCCCTCTCTCCGGGCCCCTCTAGCACTGCCCTCCCTTGGCGACTAAACCCGCTAGTGTAGAGAGAGTGATGTCTCTGTTCAAATCCACCATCAACCAATACAACAACACAGACACTCTCTGATTTATCCAACTGTTTGTTGGTTTCTATAGTGAAAACAAAGAGACTTGCAGAGAGCAAAAACAGCCACAGACACTGGAGTTGATCATGTCAGCAAAATCAGGCCAGTTAACAACAGAGCAGGAATGAGAGATTAGCTCCTTAGAAGGACAATTCTGATCCAAGAACATCTCAGCGCTGATTTAGGAGCAGATGGTTCTGATTCAGTGAGATGTCGGTATTCTCTGTCTGTTTTCCATAGGAAAGACACAGTGAAGCCAAAGTCTCCAGTGGCCTCAAATGGTGGTGTCACTGTCAGTAGCCTTAGGCAAGAGTGTAGTTAATCCAGTAAGTCTTCATATTCTCCACCTTCTTCAGTTTGGTGGCGTAGTCCTGGACCTATTTCAGCCCCATGTCTGTGCACAGCCTCACCAGGAAATGCAGGCCTGGAGGGGACATGGGAAAAACAACCAGCCATAGAGATGTCAGCATCAATACATTATTTTTTATAAACCATTACATTAGAGAAGTAATGCTGAGAGGACAAGAAAGGATTGGGTGGATAACATTCAACGTTTTCCGGGAATTTCCGATGGATGTCTTTGTAAGTCTCCAGGGCTTTCTGGTAGTTTCCCGAGGATGAAGGAACAAGGAGCAGCAGTGTTCAGGTCATTGCACATATAATTATTTATATCTCGGTAAAGGTGATGACAAATTCATTCAGACAATAAAATCAATGTATTAACATAATAACTAATTTGAGGTGGATGATACCCTCACCACTTCTCCTGTAGCAGCTGGCCACCATAAGCTGCCACTTCACTTGAGTTGGCATGAAACCACTTGACAAGTTATCAATATTGCAGGGGCATGATACAACATTACCTTGTCACCAGGCTATTGGGCAGAAATGCCAGAATAGAGGCTCAACAAACAAAGCATATCACTTGTTACATTATGATGTACAAACTCAAGACACACACACATCAATATTATAGTGAGATGAGGACTAGAGACTTACTGGATTAGTGTGGCTCTCTCAAAGTACTGGATGGCCTTCTCACAGAACTGAGTGTCAATGTAGTAGGCCCCCAGCCACTCAATAATGTCCATGTTGGAGGGGAAATATCTGAAGGACTGAACAAGAACAAAGACCATGGAGACAGTTCAGATTTGTGGGATCTGTGGGTGTCACACTGATCAGCTGCATCAGCCACTCTATGGCCTGGTGGGAGTCCTCCAACATCTCAAAGCTGAGCTGCAGTCAAGGATCACATACACGCAAAACATGTAGCCCTCTATAATATAATAATAATAATAATAATAATATGCCATTTAGCAGACGCTTTTATCCAAAGCGACTTACAGTCATGCGTGCATACATTTTTTTGTGTATGGGTGGTCCCGGGGATCGAACCCACTACCTTGGCGTTACAAGCGCCGTGCTCTACCAGCTGAGCTACAGAGGACCACATATATTGTAATCACGCTCTTAAGTTGTAGAAAAGCGCTCCTTAAAGAACATTGAGCTTTGCCTAAAAACAAAGACCCAGTATTCTGTGAGGATCCAGATTGGCTAGCTGCCTCATCACCTGGGCGCTGTTCCTAAGGATGGCTTGGAGCTTCAGGAAACAGTCTAGAGACTCCTCCAGACGCCCCAGACGCTTATAGGTCAGACCTGAGGAAAAATGACATCCTGTGAGAAAAGTTCAAGGAAGTATGCTAATGATGATTGAACATAGGAGTATTACCCTAATATGACTATATAATATTGATAATCAGAATGAGAGGGTCTTACCAAGAAGTAGAGGAAGGAGAGCTTAGTGGCTGCAGCACTCTTCACTCTGCTATCTTTCTTCTCAAATGTCTTCAGAGTCTCCACAGCCTGTAGAAGGAACCCAATCACTTAGTATCACTATAACATTTACATGCTCATATAGTATACAAACACACACCTCACAACATCTGACAAGGACATTACACATACAAACACACACCTCACAACATCTGACAAGGATATTACACATACAAACACACACCTCACAACATCTGACAAGGGCATTACACATACAAACAAATGAGTATAACACATACCTCGAGCTTAAGAGCCATGCAGATGGAGAAAAGGAAAACAAACAAAATGGAGGGAGTGAAGAGGAGAAAGATGTGGTGAAACAGCTGAAGGGAGAAACTGATACATAGACAGACGTTACAGTGTACACACAGACAGGATGGAGTGAAAAATAAATACAATTTCCTTCATATGGTACAAGGGAAGACTGTTCAGAGTCGGTGACACACTCACACCAACCTGGTTGAAGTCCCTCTATCTCAGGTAGGTGATGGCTTTGGTGATCTCTAGGTCGTTGGCCAGTTCTATGTACTGGGAACTCTTCACCATGTCCACACACCTACAGAAACAACCACACAGAGTATTACCATTACTGTACCAAGGGGACTCCAGCCCACATTTACCCTGTATTGCCCTCTAGTGTTGAGGTTAGGAAAAACACCAGTCAAATCCAGCAGCGATGGTCGGGGAGATGAGCTTGGCTGATGTCATGATTAATTTCTCAGCCAGGGCTTTCCTGCATTCAAAACAACAGATTCCAGTAGCCAGAAACAATGAGTGAAACATTTCATACAGATGAACAGTGATGTTTTGTATAATGTATGAATAAGACAGTTACCGTTCTCTCTCCATCTGGTGAAACTTGTCGTTCTTGATGGCTTCAATCACCAGGTTGGCATGGGTGTCATCCTGAAAACAAAACTAACGTGGAGGACTTGGGAAGCATAACATGCAGTAAGTGCTACTACAATAAAGCCTAGAACTTTCCATGTGCTGAAGCGTGCACACTGGACTCATGGTGTAGTGTACACTTCACTGTGCTGACTATGTTCAGTTTGAGAATAGAAGTGCTCACGTTGGGTGGGATGTACTTGTCCTCCTCGTCGATCCCTAGAAGACACAGATGAGCTTCTGAAAAGCCTTCTTCATCCTCTCTCTGTCTCTGATGGCATAGTAACACAGGATCAAGTTAAACGCCTGTCTTAATATTGGGGCTCTCGCTCATGGCGTCAGAGTACTGGCCCATGCGGATGATGACCACACTGATGTTCTGCATGATCTTGATCCTCATCTCCTTGTGGGAGTTGGAGATCTGGTGCGAATGGTGCGAAAGCCCACCATTCGATCCCATGGAATCTGCTTTTCGTCAGTATAGCCACACATCCCCTGTGCGGTTTCATGCTCGGGAATCGTGAGACAGTTCAATATGTCCTCGTGAATACCATCCCCCGACATCTAGCGAACAAAAGTCAATGCGTCTCGGCCCTCACAGTTAACGTCCATTTAGAGAGCATAAGGTGGGAGTTTTTGAGTCGTTCAGTCAGTTTCCTCTTGATTGCTAGCTATAGCATCAATTCTTAGTTTCACAGTGTTATCTGACAAAGGTATTGATGTGAGTTTCTGTGCCTCTGCCTCCCCACACCATATCAATTGCCGCCGGTAGTATCAAAGTCCCTGCAATGTGGTTTCATAGAATACTGGGTTTAGCCATTCACCGTGGGAATTAATCAAGTCCAACTTCAAGTATGGCCTTTTCCCACGATCTAAGGGCGCTCTCTGGTTGAATTTTTACTTTTACATTTTAATAATTTTCATTTAGATTTTTAAGGTTAACCACATTACAATGATTTTGAGAGACAAATACGATATTATAATATATCTATTTTTTTCAAACCAGGATTTGGTAAGTTCTCCCTCAACCCCATTTTCATATCACCCAAACTGGGGTCGCGACCACTAGCTGATCTAGGGACTGTAATAACAATGGTAGAAATAGCAATGTTAAAGGTAAAGCATCACACATCCCTAAGTCTGCGAAGTCTCTGGTCATTCTGTTCAGATAAGAGGCAGGGGTAGACTGACCACCTGTAGGTCTCCACAGCCGTGCGCCAGGTAGCTCTCCTCTATCAGGTCGTTCACCTTCTTCTCCGGGACCTTCACCTTCTTATCCGGCCTGAAAACAACATGGCCAATATACCTAAATCATCCTAACCATCATTATACCTTCATCATCCTATAGAATCACAGGAGAAATCCTGAGAATCGCATATTGAAATGAGGGTCAGCAGCAGAGACAGAAACAAACACTTATGTATCTTCACTTTTGCCCTCCAACAGAGCAGCTGGTCCTTTGGACTGACCCAGTGGGTCAAATGTAGAAACTGGTTTTGTTATCACGTTCTATACTTGTGGTCTCCAATAAACTAGTAAATGAGACCAACACACTACCCTCAGTCTCCCTCCCTGGTAAACTCCCCTCTGGTCATGGCTGAAGAGTAGCCTGCTGCTCTGACTGCAGTCATAGGCCTAGCTGCTCCATCCTGTCACACAACACAACACCCACAGTCGAGCACACACATCAGATTTCCATGACACTAAGCATAATCTTTGTCCACATAATACTGAGTCAGAATCCAATTGATGTCGGAAACCCAGAACTTAAATTGTGCGTAATTGCGTCAAATGCCTCAGTTCTGCGGGGAGATGTGTTCGAAATATATACTTGAACGAGGAGCGGAAGCAGGATGGTAGCTCTACCCCGCTCTCTTTGCAAGTTAGAGGCAAGTCTATGGGCAAAATGTCCCCTCCCCTTCTGAAACTTTAAAGATGCAAACACCTGTGAAATCGTGATTTGTCCACTTCTGGGCACTGGAACAAAGTTCCTCGTTAGTTGTCTTATCCCACAGTCTGTTGACTGACGCAACGATACCAGTGTTACATGCGTCTGTTCACGAGATATTAGAATCCACCCACTAGAAACAGACGTCAATTCAACATCTATTCCACGTTGGTTCAACGTCATTGAACTGATGTATAAACAATGTTGATTCAACCAGTGTGTGCCCAGTGGGCAGTAGGAAAACTAGAGGAACTGAATACTGATGCTCTCACCTGTACTGCTCCAGTCATGGGTCTGCCCATAGATGAGGCCATTTGCATCCTTGACTGCAAGTCACAGCATTAAAGACAGATTTACAAATTAGAAGGCGGATTTATGAGGTCTTGAAAAGATAAAACCCCATCAACTCATTACAGGTATTTTCTCTAAAAACATTTTTTAAAACATGGCTTTATGTGTTCAGGTGTTTGTCTATAACCTTTTCACAACCCGTAGCTAACATTTCACCTCACATCACCTCACTTGCTGCCAAGTATACCATGACTCAAGCTCTCACCTTCAGAAGCCTGCGCTCACTGCCAAACCTGCTCTTGAAATATCAAAACATGCTCAAATGCAATACAATACACTATATCTTCTAAATTGACATTGGTTCTATGTGCCTTAATTTCATTAATCTGTGAACAATTTGTTTGCATCCCATACATTGAATCACAGAAACAAAATTTCATCTCAGACCGACTTTATAGCCTACCCATCATTGAAACATTGATTTACAATCAACATGTTGCAACAAGTAAACCAAATCTTATACAATCCATACTTACTCCAAAAGAGGTTCCCAAAGCCCGTCCTCCAATGTCAATGCCAGGAAACTGGGCAGTCATCTTAGAAAATAAACACAAATAATGTAGAACTCGATTCAGTTTTTATTGTCTTAGCACATTGCTTTAATTATGCCATATCTTGACTAACTGTATATGACACTGTTATAACACTCACGAGCTTGCCTGACTGCTTACTGAAAACCAGCATCATTTTCAAGCTCCTGTTAAACACAAGATATGAACTCAACAATACTATAATTAATAACAAATTCAGTATGAAACAAGAGTGAAGATGAGGCAGTACTCTAATTCAAAAGAAGACACGAGGCTAGCTAAAACTACCTCTGAATCAAATGTTTGAGTGTATCCGTTGTAGCCCGAGTACAGGTCATCTTCTTCGTCAGCAGCAAGATGCACATGCTCCATCTCCTCTGCGAATCTGTCAGGCCCAGGTGAAAGAGGGAAACAACATACGTTTTAGATTTGATGCATTGCATCAAAGAACACTGACTGACTGACAGACAGTAGCTATAAAGAATCAGAATGGTATTTTCTCACGAGGCAAACTACAATGGTAAACCTAGCTACTCGGGCAGTTCATCAGATTAACCAGCTGGCCGGCTAGCTAGCTCATTAGCTAGCTCATTGAATAAGTTAAAATACGAATGGATACTAACTACTTACGGTCAAGACTTCTATGAAATGGAAAAGGCTTCTAGATACTTTCTTCGCTAACTAGATAAAACAATATATATTGAAAGGAGAGAACAATATATTGATTGCAAATATAATATTCTTGGAGGAGCTGGAATTTTGTTGTCATTTCTAGTAAACCGAGGCTTTCTGAACGGTTCAATACTCAGAGCTTCATTATCTGATCATAATGCATATTAGTGACATCTGCTGGTCAGCAATAAATAGTAGCATGTAATTATCAGATAGAGGTGTTGTTTCTCTGTTGTTTTCATTATAACACCGTGTCGCTGCGGTAAATCATTGGTTTAGCAGCCTATTCTGTAATCAGTGGGAATACCAGGTTCGCATCTTACATCATGCTTCCCTTTTTTGCCTTCAAGTTTACTATTTTTCTAAAACTGAATCTATGGCATTATTTAGGATGCTTACGACAGAAGCTTATAATAAATAAAACAATGCGCAATGCAATTGGATAAGAGCACCCAATTCCCTTAATAGGGTACAATAGAGTACCACAGTATGAGTCATAATACCCATCAAACCTAGCGGTCAAACAGGGAAATGGTTCCAAACAGGGACATTTTTTCCTCATAGGGGATTTTAGAAACACTTTAAAAAAGGCCTGTATTCCGTGTAGGCTTACCCTAGCGTGACGTTTTGATAACCGTGCTAATTTCTCTAGGACAAGGTGACTTTTATCAATATATTCGCCTGTATTTACCCCCCAAAAATGAAATGCTAATTAGCAACAGAGAAGACCTCAGCAAGACTACAAATTCCTGCAGGAAGCTCTTGCACATCATCTCTAGCCGACACTGTCAGCTACCGTTCACCAGCGCGATCAGATACCTGTGTCCAATCCATGAACTTCTTACCTCCCCTAACTAAGTCTTAGCTAGGCACTGACTACACTTTAGCTAGCTAGTTAGCAGAGCAGTAGATCAAAAAATAATGTTGTTTTACTTAGCCTAGATAATTGTTTGTACAGTATGTCGACTTTGGTGTCTATTTCAGTCCTTATCACATTTTTAAAGGAAAGAGCATTATTAAAAGGGGAGAAGACCACTATAAATCTGGCCATGTGGAGAAGTGCACCTATAGTGAGGGGCAACTTACCGGTTTGCCCAGGGCCAGCATGAGGGATAAAGTTTATCCTGTGTTGGTGAGTGTAGCTGTTAAGTTAAGTTTGAGCATCTTAGCAATAAAATGTGTTCTATACAGCTGTCAACATTCTACAAGGATAAAGAGCCACTTAATCAATTATTTAATCATTAACCAGATTACCCTGGATACCAGACTTCGATGAGTGATAACTTAGTTCTAGAATGTCATTTACATTTACATTTTAGTCATTTAGCAGACGCTCTTATCCAGAGCGACTTACAGTTAAGTGAGTGCATACATTTTTCATACTTGATGAGAATGAATCTAAAAATCTATTGACATTCAGAATTGACTTTGTTTAGACATCCAGTCTGTATTGTAGTTTCATGACCAGAGACATATCTTCAAAGGCACAGTATTTATTTATTCGGAGCGGTACATGCATTCACACGGTCTTGATTTATAGGATCCTTCCCACTATATATTTGATGTCCAGTGATAAAATCCCAAGTTATCAATTAAAAGTTTATGGAAAAACTGCACTTGTCCTAATGTGAAAATGACAGTTTATTATATATTCTACAGCTGTAATGTCATCAATCAAATCAAACTTGATTTATATAGCACATTTCTTACAACTAATGCATTTCAAGGTGTTCAAAGTCATGCATTGAAAGGCATGTGGCACTTAACGTCCTTCCTCTTGGGAGGTCTCTGTAGGTGACCAGGGGATTCTCTCTACCACATGCAAATGCCTCCGTGGAGCTCATAAGTGTAGCCATGCAGCCTATTTTGGCAGTTCACAATATCGGCCATACAGATGTGGAATGTGAGTGGAGGAAGCCAGCAGTTCCCAACGATGTGCGGTCAGTGGAGGACCTGTACTGGCCGAAGACTACAACCCTTTGTCCCGAGAGCCCACAGAGGAGGATCTTCAGTGGCTACGGAACCGTCCCCGGGGCAAGTTCAGTGGAATGGCATGTCTCCTTGAACCTGAGCTAGAACAACCACTACCCTCCCTGTCAGTATCAGACATTGTTAAAAAAAAGGCACCTGGGGCATGCAGGCATCCTGGCTGGCATGGCACCAACCCCAACTGGCACACCATGAGGAGAGGGAGGTTGACGGTCAGCAATTATGAAGAAGTGGCCAGGGCCAAGCGCGTTACTCAGTCGCTGCTAAAAAGGGTCCTCAGATCACAGTCGTTGGATGGGGTGTTGTCTGTAAAGTGGGGCACAGAAAACGAAGCGCCAGCTCAAAAACCCAACATTAGCATGAATTTTGTGAACAAGAAGTACAACATTACAAATATTTTCAGAGATGTGAGATAATTAACTTGTTCTCTGTAATATCATATAGATTAAGAATCATCACATTATGTACTTTCACAAGTTTGAACGTACAAATGATTAGGATCGTAAGAAAATCCATACGTAAATTGTTAGGATCGTAACAAAAATCATGCGTAAAACATGAAACGCAAACGTTAAATTAGATCTGTAAACGAACAAACCCTATGTTACGACTATGAATGAACATTTACACATTCAATTCTTACTTTACGTCTCCCTTTACTCGGTTACAGATCTTTTTTATACGTACAAACTTTTGGCAGTAATGTGGCATCTGCAAAGGACATGAACCGAACGTAGCTAGTCAGTAGATTATGTAGTATAGGCTTGGGCCTTCAGCAAATGACTTGTGTGAGAATGATTAAGACACAGAAGAGCCTTGAGCTGCAAAATAGAAAGTCAATATGATTAAGGCTAGGCCTATTCCACTATCTAAATATGCCATGCTGTTGTGTGTTATTTAATGGCCATATAATTGCATCATTTATTTGTATAGCTGCGTGGGGCTACTATGGTGATCATGTAACCTAATCAATCACACTTTTTCCAGTATTTGGGAGCACGGACTGTAGGCCTTACATTAGGCATTTTGACTGTTGTATTAGTGAATTCCACTCTGTATGTAGGCTTGTTATAGCCATTTGCGTTGCACAACCCCATCACGCAGAGGCTATATCCATATCAATAAATGAGACAAAACAAAATATTGATTAAGTCTTGGCTATAACCTGTCCTGAGCGAAATAGCCAAGGGGTCCCAAATGGTCAAGACTATATATAGCCTATTCTTATTGCCAGATCTGTTTTCCCTATCAGCCACTGCCTGTGCTTCTTCAACTATTTTGTTTAACATTTATTTAGAGGCTATATTTAGAGGCCTGTGAGCTAGGGTCTCTTTTTAAGGGGAGCCCTATAATAAAAATAGTTATAAAACACAAATAGAGTTCTACAATTATTCCGCAAGACACCAGTACCTAAAATGATAGCCTAAATTGCAATGCCTACAAGTTGAAGGCCTATTTTTTATTTGGATAGGCCTAAATTATAAATTGAATTATTAAAGTTATAGGCTAAAGAACTTTGGAGAATTTAGATAATTTTGAATACACACATGGATTTCAATAAACAAATGGATAAGATTGTTCTATTCTCTTTGATTTAGTTCCTATTGCAACTCAGATAAATGACTGAATGGATGGCATACTGACTGACTGAACTGAATGAAGGATTAATTAAATATTCAAATATGTTGGAATGACGAGTTGCACGCATCATGCATGCTCTGCACTTTATTTGGCTAGTAGGCAAATAGGCCTACATTAGGGTATAATGACTCTATGGCTGCATGCCTCCAGAAGGGCATCTTCTGAGGCTGAGGAGTGCTTTTTTCCAAAGGCGCATGGTGCTGTGGTGCTGCATGGAGATCACAAGCTCTTCAACTGGGCAGCAGTGTCGCAATGAAGGGAATAGCCTATACGGAGACTACCTAAAACCACTGCAACAGAGTTATTGTAAAGTGTGGGAATAAGTTTATGCCAGACTTCGCCTACGTTTAACCTCACCCTTGTTCATTTCAAAGTCCATATGTTCATGACCCGATTCATATAAATCATGTACAATTATTTTTAATTCATATGAACCCCCCCTACAGAATATGCTTAGGCAAAATTTTGAATGATTAAATAAATATCCAAATATTCTATAAAAAAAATATTTTGAGTGGCAAAGACTCCAGTGATCATACATGCTGTAGAGATACACCTAGCGGACTGAAACGTCACTGTTTTAGGCATAATACAGCTAGTGCTATCTAGACTTGCGGTGGCAAACTCAACTGAGGAGTAATAGAGAATGGAAACCTTTAACTTGAAAACGTTTTTTTTTATACTGTGTTATGCTTGTTCGCATAGCACTCCTCAGAGACCGTTTGGTGTACGTTTTTTGTTGTTGGTGAGATGAAACTGCCAAAACTCTGAAAGGTATTATTGTACGTCAGAATTGCAACACAAGATTTGTTCAAGCCTAAAATGTTAGTCCGTAATTGTAACATGGTGTTTGTATGTTCACAGATGAAATTTCACGTTTACGTTTCATGTTTCTTACCATCCTAACAATTTACGAATGGATTTTCTTATGATCCTAACCGATACATACGTTCAACCTCTTGGCAGGTATCTCGCTCCATATTCTGGACTCATTACCCTGACTTTGAGAAGCCTGAGATTAGTTTAGCAACCGCTTTACGCAACATGACAACGTGAACGCGATTGGTCGACAATCTTCTGGGTGGGGCGTTATACATTCCTCCATTCATTGTTCAATGGGATTCCCATCTCCTCCTTTCTCTAATATCTCTGGAGTTATACCCCACCTATGTCTACAATTTATCTTCTTAAAATGTTATTTTAAACATAACCTTAACCCTTACCACACTGCTAGCCTTATACCTAACCCTAACCTTAAATTAAGACCAAAAAGCACATTTTGGTTTTCATTAATTTTTACGATATAGTCAGTGTGGAAACCATTTCTCTTTTATTTTTTCCAATGTTATCAGCTTAGAATGTAAAAAGTATGACCAAGAGCATTACCACATGTTTAATAAAGTAATGCAAATCGGTAAATCGATTAATTTTGTTCGCTCTTTTTTATTTAAAACATTTTAGGGCACCGTACAATCACGTGAGTAGCAGGGGCGTTGCAGGATTTGCATGCAGACTTTTTGGGAAAGTCAGTGAGAATTTACAATATTGCAATAACTTACTTCTAAGCAAACCTGCAAAATGAGTTCCTCTGATGGGATGACCATTACAGTTATTGGCAGGTGAGCAGAAATCTCACATTTTGCGAGCTTTATCTGTATAACCAATCTTGCTCCAGTAACTAGGCTAGCTAACTTACCTAGTAGCAGCTATTTTACAGGATCTAGCTCTATAGCTCATTGACCTAGCTACGGACCGTACGTGCCTATGCATGTGAACCTTGCGCTAGAGTAGGGTCGGCTGATCACCAACTAGATTAAAGTAAACAAATTAGTTCATTTTCATGACACTGAAAATTTGGAGTTACAGATATTGTATTCATATTTGTTGTGCATGTGTCAAGTAAATACTAGAGAGAATATTTAGTTTGTATCTTTATTTTCTAGCTAACTACTGTATACACTGAATGTGCCATATCAGGTCAGGATGTTGTGCTAGCAATAGGCACATGATGTGATCATGATATCTGGAGGAAAATGTATTTTTGTCTAGATTAACATTTTAAATCTAATGCAATAGTGAAAAAAAATGTCCCACTCATATGGCCGTCATATGCCTATATTGATGATACTGGCAGTTTCTCTTAAGAACATTCATCACTTGTTTGCCTTTGCTTCCTGTTATTCCTGCCTCCTCTAGTCACCATTTCTGGACAATCCTGAGGGATGTTGAGGGCACTCAAAATGTCTGCACTGTCACTGTTGAACCACCCTTGTTTCACAATTAGAGCCACAAATGCTTGTCATACGACAAGGTTTACATTTTGACTTCATTAAAGTTCATGATTAAATTAAGTTGTGTTCACCTTTGGACTGACCCCCAAATCGATGATAACTCCTATTATACTATGTACAAAACATTAACAACACCTTCCTAATATTGAGTTGCAATAGTAATGTTTTGTACACTCAGTGTATATACTATTATATTATATAATAATTATATATAATACATTTGCAATTTAGCATATGCTTATATCAAAAGCAACATACAGTAGTATGTTCATACATTTCTATATGGGTGGCCCCAGCTGGAATCAAACCCACAACCCTGGTGTTGCAAGGGCCATGTCCTACCAACTGAACTGCACAGGACCACTTAGGGATTTTATTTATCATAAAACATGTAGCCATTCCGGGGCAAACCAAATTTCCCTTGGGGGACAGTAAAGAAAAATGTTGGCACTGTTGTTGTGTGTGTATTTCAGTGGGCTGATTGGGCGCTCCTGGGCCATGGTGTTTATGAGTGGTGGCTACAGAGTGAAGATCTATGACAACCAGCCTGGCCATGCTGCCAGGGCCATCCAGGAGGTCAGGTCAGTCCTGAAAAATAAGGCGAAACATTAACAAAATGTCTCATAACAACATCAACTCATACATAACAACTCATACATGACCTAAATACCCCTCAGTCCTTTTTGCACTCACACTGAAGACACAAGACCAAAACATGATCAGTGAATCCTTTTAACTGTATAAACCCTGTGTGGCCGCTGCTGACCCCGGCACACATGTATGACAGAGTCGGCATGGATTCAGATCCGCTCCACTGCCCTTTGACTCCCCTCCCCCTCCCCCTATCTTCCCCGTCTTTCCAACACTTTACTATCTCTTCAATAAAGCAAAAAAAATGGGCACTACCCCACTCCTTAATTATTATAATAAAAAAATAAAAAAATGTATAAATCAATCAACAACCATATAGTAGGACTGTGTTAAAAACATGGTTGAACATTACGACATGACACAGGGCTTTAGATGAATATGGTCCTTTTTTTGTTTTGTTTTTTATTTAGCCTTTATTTATACAGGTTTTTCTCATTGAGATAAAATCTATTTTTCAATAGAGACCTGGTCCAACAGCAGCAGGTCCTATCTCCCCTATGATGTATTTTTTTTTACATTATATGTAATAGGATTTAACCACAGATAGAACAATGAGCCAGATATTTCACCAGATATATAAATGTGAAGCATCCAGTTGCCATTTCCACTATCAAATATGGTGATGAGAGGAAGCCCAGTGGCCAAAACTAGAATCTATAACAAACAGAGTGGACTTTGTTTTGTAGACTTTGCCTTTTGCCAAAGTTTCAAAAAAGTGTGTTGTTTAGAAGGAGTGCAAGGGCGAGTTATTGCACAAGCGCACTTCACAGAATAGGCATTCCCTAACAGAAATATGCAAATAAATGCTAGAACACACCAATAGGATCTCACTAGCTCGTGCTTGGCTCTGCCCGCCTCCTTGCTTGTTCTGCCCACTATGATTAATTTGCTCCTATTGAAAACGACAGGCACTGGTCTATCTTGGGTTAGTTATAAAAATCTGGTATCCATCATACCACTGGCCTCAGCATAGAGCTACCGGAAAGATATGTTTACGTATAAAGTTTTCATTTACTTCACTTTGAAATGACAGTTTGAAAAACAGATGTCTGTTTGGATTATTAAGTGATTTGACCACTACTCAAAGCCTCGAAAGCATAGGGAATGGACCATTGCATTTATTGTTGGCTCGAAAACCAACCTGGTAACATTCAGTTCTCATGGTTACAGTGAGTTCAGATATGTGCCCTGAGGTTTTGCTTCAGTTTGACGTTTCTCTGTTATTGACTGTCATTGTATTTACATAAAGGCTGTCATGTAAATGATGCAATCTAATGAAACCACTAATGTTCAGCCCATTCACAATGTGGTAAAGTTCTCAACCTGTCTGTTGTTATTGTGTTTTGCCAGTCTCCCATGGTTTTTGTAATGGGATCAATCGGACAGGTACAGATACGGTGTTACAGTGTATTAATTATGTAGTCAGGTGGCACGCAATGACTCTCCTTCATATTCCAGAGGTCACTGAGTTTCTGTATAGTTATGGGTCATTGAAAAATACCTTGGGTTGTGTGTGTGCCTGTGTGGGTGTGTTAACCCATTTTCCTTGTGTGGTGGCCCAGGAAACAGCTTGAGGAGCTGCAGGAAGCCCACATGCTGAGGGGGCAGCTGAGTGCCTCAGAGCAGCTAGCCCTACTGAGCAGCCACGATGACCTCCCTCAGGCACTAGAGGGAGCCTTCTTCATCCAGGTACAGTAGGCTGACTGGTATGAGTATCATCTATGAGGAAAATGCCCTTTCATGCTGGAATAGCAATAAAACTTCGCTAGGATGCATCTCAATCAGAGTATGTGAGCGGAGTTGAGTGGTCGGAAATCCCGCTCCACATCCTTTGCAAACGCTCCTTCATAGAAAGAAAAATGCTGCTCCAAATTCGCTCCATTCATTAAAATCACAATTTAACCAACACCCATCTATTTTTGTGACTACCTGGACCTACCATTTGCTTTGAAGTATTGAAACCAAACCATATGATTTGAATGAAAAGTATTTTAATAAACAACAGGAAAAGGTGACTGTAAGAAGCGCTCATCATTTTAAATATGCTACACGTCGTATTAAACAGCATATAAACACTTTAAATAGGTCAGGAGCCAGACAGGTAGCCTAAGAAGGAATTAAAATGAATTATTTATGCTATATTATTGAAATTATTTCAAGGCTATAGCCTACAAAGAAATCAATTGTAAAGCATTTGCGAGTGCGACACACTAGGCTGGCAGGGACATTAAGCGCTCAGCGTTTAAATAACATTTCGTTGTATTAAATAATTAGTCTATAAATTACACATATAGGCTGCGACTTACTTAGAGTTAAATACAAATTAAACAAAAAATGCCTTATTAGGCTCCATCTACAGTGCCTTTGAATTCATTTTTAGAAACATGAGTTTGGCCAGAGTTTGTGGTTTCAGCCTCATGCGATGGTGCCTGGAGACCAGGCCAGCAGCGGAGAATACCCACTCAGCACATGCAGAGCCACTGGGGGTGCTAAACACCCTTCGGACCACTCTTGCCAGGCTTGGCAGGGATGCGTAGTTGTTTTTAGATTTTTCTGTAGGTAGGATTTTAGGTAAAATAACCCTATCAAAACAGAAAGCTCCTTGAAAGAGGTAATATGCCAGGACTATTGGGCCAAAATCAATGATGGCCTTTTGTATAGATAATAGAACGAAAATTAACGAAACTTTTAAGAGATCTGATTTTTAAATACTTTGCTACAATGACACACTTAGCTAGCTACCCACCTCGTTCCTTTCTGTTGGAATTTGCACGTAGTAAGAACACCATCATGGTATAGTAAGTACACCATCATGGTATAGTAAGTACACCATCATGGTATAGTAAGTACACCATCATGGTATAGTAAGTACACCATCATGGTATAGTAAGTACACCATCATGGTATAGTAAGTACACCATCATGGGATAGTAAGTACACCATCATGGTATAGTAAGTACACCATCATGGTATAGTAAGTACACCATCATGGGATAGTAAGTACACCATCATGGTATAGTAAGTACACCATCATGGGATAGTAAGTACACCATCATGGTATAGTAAGTACACCATCATGGGATAGTAAGTACACCATCATGGTATAGTAAGTACACCATCATGGGATAGTAAGTACACCATCATGGGATACGTGTCTTTTCAGATTCCGCAATGATTCCTTAGTTGTGGACACTACATCACCGCACTCCCTCTCTTGCTCTTGGTCCTCCTCATCTTTGTAAGTCACCTTGATTTTTTACCTGTGTGTTTTATCAGTTTCTTTATGAAAATATTTAATATACTAAATGACAGTAGCTAAAGCAAGTGGCTATAGCAGCACACTAGTAGACTACAAATGCATGCTGAGCCGGGCATGCCCTGAGCTCATAAGGTGAGCGCTACTGGAGCGAAATTGGAGAGGGTGAGAAGGCCGATGCTCCAGCCTTTGGGAAAGTCGCTCCACGCTCCAGTAAAATTGGGTACACTCCGCTCCAGCTCCACTCCAGCTCCACTGGTCACTGGGTCACAGGGGAGATCGATACATGGTATTTCACATAGGCTTAATCATTACAGTGTATCGATTCAAACTTTCAGGAACATACCATTGTGTCACATTGTGGAGGAGAACAATAGAGGGTGTTTTAGAGAGTTACAGGGAAATTCTGCTGGGAAATATTCAGAGTATTTCCTGTCACCATCTGAGACCACAATTTCCTGGTTCAGATACGTTTCCTCACTGACAGCAGTTCACTCCTCCTTTGATTCTAACCTCATTTTGGATTAATAGGCTTTATAATCGTTTTCCCACTTAAGACTTATAATATGAGGGAAATATTTTAGGCAAAGTGTGTCCCGCCTCAGTGGGTAATAGTTATTATTTTTGTATCTCTCTTTATGTGAGGGACATACCATTTTATTTGTGAATGTGTCAGGTAAGCCACTGACCCAGCCAGTTACTGCTGCTAGTTTAATCTGGTAACATGCGACTTTGTCATGGAGTTATTATTTTACTGTTAAAGACATAGTAACCATTGCAAGGGTGACTGACCATGGTGAGAGCCATCAGGGCTTAGAGAGAAACACCTGGAGGTGTTAAGCTGCCCTGCGGCCATTTTGTAGTATATCCAAGCTGGTTAGTTTAGTTAGAAGGTGAAATAGCATTGTGAGGTAGAGAGCATCATGGCTTTCAAGACATTTGTCTGTGCATATGGTTGTGATGAGCAATGCATAACAGGACTAAGCACAAGCAGTGTTCTGTATTCATGTATAAGAAGCGATAACCACATCGAATCATATCATGTTTTTCTCAATGTGGTTTCTGTGGTTTGTATTTGTATTGAAACACGAATGACAGCAGTATACATAACCCTCTTGTGACTGGGGATCATGAGGAGTGCTGGGAGACATATTTAGTAAACCACCATTCCTGAGTCATTGGAGATGTGACATTTCCCCTTATTGTTAGAATTTTTTTCAGTAAAAACATGATCATGCCCCAATATTCCTTTTCAATCTTAAAGTAACTGCCCAGTGAAAATCTCACTTTTAAAAGTTAATATTCTGTCAACCTACAGTACGCCGTGAAGGACTGAAATCCTGCAGCGCCCGCAAGGTCCCCCTGTTCAAGAAAGCACATATACAGGGCATTGAAAATGGGTCGTGGATGGGTATTCCAGCATGACAATGACCCAAAACACACGGCCAAGCAACAAAGGAGTGGCTCAAGAAGAAGCACATTAAGGTCCTGGAGTGGCCTAGCCAGTCTCCAGACCTTAATCCCATAGAAAATCTGTGGAGGGAGCTGAAGGTTCGAGTTGCCAAACGTCAGCCTCGAAACCTTAATGACTTGGAGAAGATCTGCAAAGAGGAGTGGAACAAAATCCCTCCTGAGATGTGTGCAAACCTGGTGGCCAACTACAAGAAACGTCTGACCTCTGTGATTGCCAACAAGGGTTTTGCCACCAAGTACTAAGTCATGTTTTTCAATCTTAAAGTTTTGCAGAGGGGTCAAATACTTATTTCCCTCATTAAAATGCAAATACATTTATAACATTTTTTTGGATTTTTTTGTTGTTGTTATTCTGTCTCTCACTGTTCAAATAAACCTACCATTAAAATTATAGACTGATCATTTCTTTGTCAGTGGGCAAACGTACAAAATCAGCAGGGGATCAAATACTTTTTTCCCTCACTGTACAGGTAGCTGGAAAAGCTGTTTCTTTGTGTGTGAAATAGAACAATTTACGTTTCCCAGCAAAAAAACAAATAGTTTGAAAGTACACCATGTTTGTTCTCATCAGTCTTTACATTGTATTTCTGTATGTCCTAATATTTGTTTATAATGTTGCACTGAAGGTCCCTGTTGCCACTGCAATAGGAAAATGTGTTAACTTTACTGTCACATTGTCTCTGCTAAACAACGTGTGTGTGTGTGTGTGTGTGTGTGTGTGTGTGTGTGTGTGTGTGTGTGTGTGTACAGGAGAGTGTGTTTGAGGAGATTGAGGCCAAGCAGAGTGTCTTCCAGGTGGTGGAGAGTCACGTGGGAGAGGGCGTGATCCTCAGTAGCTCCACCTCCTGCCTGTTGCCTAGCAACGTCTTCTCCCGGCTCCAGAACCGGAAGCGCTGCATCATATCTCACCCGGTCAGTACAGCGCTAACCCAAACACCAAGGCTGTGTCCAATATGGCGCCGTAATCCCATTCCTTTTGGCCAGAGCCCTGCACAGCATAGGGAACAGGATGCTATTTCAGATTTGCACAAACTCTCTCTCCCTGTCCGAGGCCAGTACTTTTGGTGTTTGCACAAGGGAATGACCCATCCATTCCAACAGTAAAATGTGTAACCTTCAGGTTCTAATCCCTAGGTTGCAACACTACATTTTATTGCAGTCCAGTCCTTGTCCAGTCTTAAATACAGTGGGGGAAAAAAGTATTTAGTCAGCCACCAATTGTGCAAGTTCTCCCACTTAAAAAGATGAGAGAGGCCTGTAATTTTCATCATAGGTACACGTCAACTATGACAGACAAAATGAGAAAAAAAATCCAGAAAATCACAGTGTAGGATTTTTTATGAATCTATTTGCAAATTATGGTGGAAAATAAGTATTTGGTCAATAACAAAAGTTTCTCAATACTTTGTTATATACCCTTTGTTGGCAATGACACAGGTCAAACGTTTTCTGTAAGTCTTCACAAGGTTTTCACACACTGTTGCTGGTATTTTGGCCCATTCCTCCATGCAGATCTCCTCTAGAGCAGTGATGTTTTGGGGCTGTCGCTGGGCAACACGGACTTTCAACTCCCTCCAAAGATTTTCTATGGGGTTGAGACCTGGAGACTGGCTAGGCCACTCCAGGACCTTGAAATGCTTCTTACGAAGCCACTCCTTCGTTGCCCGGGTGGTGTGTTTGGGATCATTGTCATGCTGAAAGACCCAGCCACGTTTCATCTTCAATGCCCTTGCTGATGGAAGGAGGTTTTCACTCAAAATCTCACTATACATGGCCCCATTCATTCTTTCCTTTACACGGATCAGTCGTCCTGGTCCCTTTGCAGAAAAACAGCCCCAAAGCATGATGTTTCCACCCCCATGCTTCACAGTAGGTATGGTGTTCTTTGGATGCAACTCAGCATTCTTTGTCCTCCAAACACGACGAGTTGAGTTTTTACCAAAAAGTTATATTTTGGTTTCATCTGACCATATGACATTCTCCCAATCCTCTTCTGGATCATCCAAATGCACTCTAGCAAACTTCAGACGGACCTGGACATGTACTGGCTTAAGCAGGGGGACACGTCTGGCACTGCAGGATTTGAGTCCCTGGCGGCGTAGTGTGTTACTGATGGTAGGCTTTGTTACTTTGGTCCCAGCTCTCTGCAGGTCATTCACTAGGTCCCCCCGTGTGGTTCTGGGATTTTTGCTCACCGTTCTTGTGATCATTTTGACCCCACGGGGTGAGATCTTGCGTGAAGCCCCAGATCGAGGGAGATTATCAGTGGTCTTGTATGTCTTCCATTTCCTAATAATTGCTCCCACAGTTGATTTCTTCAAACCAAGCTGCTTACCTATTGCAGATTCAGTCTTCCCAGCCTGGTGCAGGTCTACAATTTTGTTTCTGGTGTCCTTTGACAGCTCTTTGGTCTTGGCCATAGTGGAGTTTGGAGTGTGACTGTTTGAGGTTGTGGACAGGTGTCTTTTATACTGATAACAAGTTCAAACAGGTGCCATTAATACAGGTAACGAGTGGAGGACAAAGGAGCCTCTTAAAGAAGAAGTTACAGGTCTGTGAGAGCCAGAAATCTTGCTTGTTTGTAGGTGACCAAATACTTATTTTCCACCATAATTTGCAAATAAATTCATTAAAAATCCTACAATGTGATTTTCTGGATTTTCTTTTCTCAATTTGTCTGTCATAGTTGACGTGTACCTATGATGAAAATTATAGGCCTCTCTCATCTTTTTAAGTGGGAGAACTTGCACAATTGGTGGCTGACTAAATACTTTTTTTCCCCACTGTAAGTATTAGAGAACCTTCTGGACTTTACCCCCTCTTCCCTCAGTCGCCTAACAACTAGCTAACCACTGAAATTCCACCCTTATCATCGCCTTGAGGCTGAAACACACACACATACACACACAGTCCTTTGTGGCCAGAGAGACGAGTTCACCTTTACCTGGGAAGGTTTGTGTGCATGTGCGCATATGTGTGTGGTGAATGTTTAATCCCCCCATGGTTTTACCTCAGTGCCACTCCTTTCAGAGAGGCCTTCACAGAGGGAAATGTGTGAGGTAAGCCCTGCTTATGGCTCACAGAGTAATGTGGTCCAACAGAGAAGAACACACCCTGGGTGTATATATAGGGCTGTGGAGGTCATTACATTTTGTCAACCCGTGATTGTCATGCAGGTAACTGCCGGTCTCACGGTAATTGACCGTAATTAATATAAACATGTTTAGGATCTCCAGCTTCCACACATAGTCTACAAGCCACTGATGCGGACCTTTGGAACATCTATATTTTAAAAAGTATAATAAATCAATTTAATATAGCCAACACCATCACAATAAATCCATTATTTATTTCAGGCCTTATGTTAGGCCCTGATCTGGCTATGCCTTATGTCTGTGGGCAATACTAGTTCATTTAGCAGGCAAGATTTGCTTATGATTCCCGTGGTATTCTTTTATAGAAAGAACAATACAATTGAGCATAGCTGAATAAAATCGAAAATATATTTTTCCCAAAACAATTTCCGAGGGACTTTGTACATGGAGCTATTCTGTGTTGAGGTCCTCCTATAGTGAGGGAAAAAAGTATTTGATCCCCTGGTGATTTTGTACGTTTGCCCAGTGACAAAGAAATGATCAGTCTATCATTTTAATGGTAGGTTTATTTGAACAGTGAGAGACAGAATAACAACAACAAAAAACAGAAAAACACATGTCAAAAATGTTATAAATTGATTAGCATTTTAATGAGGGAAATAAGTATTTGACCCCCTCTCAATCAGAAAGATTTCTGGCTCCCAGGTGTCTTTTATACAGGTAACGAGCTGAGATTAGGAGCACACTCTTAAAGGGAGTGCTCCTAATCTCAGCTTGTTATCTGTATAAAAGACACCTGTCCACAGAAGCAATCAATCAATCAGATTCCAAACTCTCCACCATGGCCAAGACCAAAGAGCTCTCCAAGGATGTCAGGGATAAGATTGTAGACCTACACAAGGTTGGAATGGGCTACAAGACAATCGCCAAGCAGCTTGGTGAGAAGGTGACAACAGTTGGTGTGATTATTCGCAAATGGAAGAAACACAAAAGAACTGTCAATCTCCCTCGGCCTGGGGCTCCATGCAAGATCTCACTTCGTGGAGTTGCAATGATCATGAGAACGGTGAGGAATCAGCCCAGAACTACACGGGAGGATCTTGTCAAAGATCTCAAGGCAGCTGGGACCATAGTCACCAAGAAAACAATTGGTAACACACTACGCCATGAAGGACTGAAATCCTGCAGCGTCTGCAAGGTCCCCCTGTTCAAGAAAGCACATATACAGGGCCGTCTGAAGTTAGCCAATGAACAGCTGAATGATTCAGAGGAGAACTGGGTGAAAGTGTTGTGGTCAGATGAGACCAACATTTTGCTCTTTGGCATCAACTCAACTCGCCATGTTTGGAGGAGGAGGAATGCTCCCTATGACCCCAAGAACACCATCCCCACCATCAAACATGGAGGTGGAAACATTATGCTTTGGGGGTGTTTTTCTGCTAAGGGGACAAGACAACTTCACCGCATCAAAGGGACGATGGACGGGGCCATGTACCGTCAAATCTTGTGTGAGAACCTCCTTCCCTCAGCCAGGACATTGAAAATGGGTCGTGGATGGGTATTCCAGCATGACAATGAAGAAGAAGCACATTAAGGTCCTGGAGTGGCCTAGCCAGTCTCCAGACCTTAATCCCATACAAAATCTGTGGAGGGAGCTGAAGGTTCGAGTTGCCAAACGTCAGCCTCGAAACCTTAATGACTTGGAGAAGATCTGCAAAGAGGAGTGGAACAAAATCCCTCCTGAGATGTGTGCAAACCTGGTGGCCAACTACAAGAAACGTCTGACCTCTGTGATTGCCAACAAGGGTTATGCCACCAAGTACTAAGTCATGTTTTGCAGAGGGGTCAAATACTTATTTCCCTCATTAAAATGCAAATAAATTTATAACATTTTTGACATGCGTTTTTCTGGATTTTTTGTTGTTATTCTGTCTCTCACTGTTCAAATAAACCTACCATTAAAATTATAGACTGATCATGTCTTTGTCAGTGGGCAAACGTACAAAATCAGCAGGGGATCAAATACTTTTTTCCCTCACTGTATATGCTTAATTTAGAGTTATTGTGCAACTTTAGTTGTGATACAAACGTTAAGCTATATATTTTGATTTCTAATACATTCTAAGGCTGCATGATGCGACAAATGATTATTTGAAAAAAGTTACATGAAAGGGAAACGCTCTGCTCTGTTTCTTTCGCATGCTGCACACACTTCATCAGTCTCTCATTCACAATTTGATAAGCACTTGATCATATTCTCACGCAGTTTCTTCAATTTAATCTGGTCTTTACATATAGCCTACTAATATATGTGTGGAATTATTTTTGATTTAGAATGGCCCACAAAAAAAAGAAAGTAATCCATAGGTTACATGCAGTTAGGTAGGCTACAACGTTTGTAAAGCGGATTAATGTGCTTAGTTTTTACGAATTGAGTAATAAATATAGCAGCACGAGAAAGCTGGGATCTGCTTTTAAAAAGTGTCCTGTCTAAACTCTGTTTTCACAGGCGATTACGCAATGACTGGGCTTATAAGAACACGTTTCAGTAGGCTCTGTAGGCTATGGGCTCTCCATCCATGTTCCAGAGGTCTTGGGCTTATAGGCTACATTTTGAGTTATTTGGCCTCTTTAATTGTGATACAAACCTTTGCAAAATATATAGGCCTATGGACTAGGCTACATGATACATGCGACTGTGATTTGAAAAAGTCACAAAAAAATACATGCGCTGTGCATCATTCACAACTGAAAATATTCTCACCATTCAGACTATTCTCAATTTAATCTTGTCTTTACATATACTCAACAATATGTATCATCCGCCTGTCGGAACAGGAGCAGGGTAAAAAAATACATGTCATCTGTATGCACTCGAATAGCAAATATAAGACGCTTTTCCTGCGGTTCAGCCAGGCAGGCTACTCCAGTTGTAAAGCAAAGCAATGTGCTTAATATATGGAAAGTTGAGAAATAAATATAGTAGGCCTAGCTGATAGAAAGCTGATGGGATCCTCCTCTTTTTAATAGAGGCCATCAAAACGCTGTTTTCTCACGCAATTGCATAGTGTATAGAAATTGTATTTAATGCATCAACGAGCTATAAGGAGCTGGCTCTCGCTGCTCAACAGGTGATCCTATTCCGCTCAAACTCTGAATGCCAGGGCTCTTATAAAGTGTTTGATTTGATTTTCGATTGCATTTGCATTGATGTCAGAGTGATTAGAGGGACAATAGAGCGCTGAGTACCGGCCATTAGCAACTGTCCGTTAGCAAGTTTCAGAGGCATCAGAGCGCAGTTTTGGAGAAGCCTAGTTACCGTGACTCAACGGTCACATGGAATTTGACTGAGGTCATGACCGGTGTGGCGGTAATGCGGTCACCGCAACAGCCCTAGGTGTGTAGCATAGCATCGCAATAGTCTCAATTAGCTTCCTTCCCGCTGTCTCCTCTCCCAAATCTGTACTGATGTGAGAGAGCTGGACTAGTGAAACTCCTGGTACACGACCACCATATTGTTTTCACCCACCCTGTTTTTCTAAATCCTAACATAAAGAAGTGAGGCACTAGGGAATGTTCCCTCTAAACTGCGCACGGGCACGCAGCTCCCCGGGATTCCGCGCAGAAGAAATATCATCCTGCGCAGATAAGCAGGAGATTGAATTTAACTCAACTTTCTAGAGTTTTCCCCCTTAGTTACCCCTATCAATGTTTCTCTTTACTGTGGGAATTATGATCGAATCAACACAATATTAGCCACTTTCAATGCAACATACCGAAACAAAACTAACTATGCAAGACTTAGGTAGTATGCAAAACTAACTATGCAAGAGATTCTGTTGTAGGCAGAACGCTTCGGAGTAGGATTCTATTGCATTGACACGCATGACTCAGCCCGTACTCTACACAGACCGGTGCGGCATAACCAATCAGAGCTGCAGTAGGCCTATATGCAACTAGACCATTGCCATATATGGATCTGTGCCATTCACTTTGAACTGGACTGTGTTTACAGCATGAGCAGTCGTGAGTAGATGTGCTTGTTTTGAGATCAAAGCGAGAGCTGCATGTAGCGACGTGTGCACATTTGTTCATATCCTATGCTAGTTAGTGAGTTATTAGCCCAGTTATAGATAATATGTAGTCAGTAATGGGGGAGATTTATTCCTACAAGAGCACAAAACGTGTACATTTCTAGACATCTTTGAAAAGCGAGTTGGATAAGAGCTTATTTTTTTGTCTTAAAGGGGCAGTGTTATATTTTGAGACGGTCTTGAATAAGCTAAGTAGCCAATAGGCAGAGGGTAGCATAATTTGGCTGATTCCTGTGATAATGGTATGGGAATAATAATGCATTTTATTTTGTATAGAGTTTTCTTGCATCAAACACCACAACAACATTTTCAGTCACCTCCTTGTCTGAAGGACAAGTGGATAAACAGGTTAACGTCAAGCCCTACATGTTTTTTTCATATAGGCCTACATTGAACACCACATATTGGCTGCTACTGTAGGCTGAATGATAGAACAGCTATTTCTATGTTAAAATGTTATGGGATGCTTTTTCTCCATTGTTTTTGATGGTAGGCCACTCTGGTAGACCTACGTTATGATCAAATAACCACAGTAGCCTACTTGACCACTGTCTCAAACTGTAACTTAAAGCGGGTAGAGCCTGTGTTCAGAGTAAAACATTTGAGGGAACATTGGCACTAGGGAATGAAGAGATGGTCTATTGATATGGAGACGGTCTCTCTGTTGTTGTTTGAGCTGACAAGTTTTGATCCCTAAAGGTGAACCCGCCCTACTACGTGCGTCTGGTGGAGCTGGTGCCACACCCAGAGACATTGCCGGGGGTGATGGACACCACCTATGCTCTGATGACCGCCGTGGGCCAGGCTCCTGTCAGGCTGAAGAAGGAGATTGATGGCTTCGCCCTGAACCGTGTGCAGTACGCCATCATCGCTGAGTCCTGGAGGCTGGTCAAGGTGGGAGGCAGACTGAATACTGTGCAACATACCCTCCTCTCTTATCACTGTATTGGTCTGTTAAATAGTTAGGAACCAAGGGATTATTTCTCAGGAGTGGAGGTGGATTTTAGCTGTTGTTGACACTGGCAGTCCTTGTAGACAAGAGTCCCTCAGTCCTTGTAACTTTGGACTTTGGATCCCTAATAGTTATTCTGATGGTCATGTCTAAATGGGAGTGGAGGGGGAAGTCTCTGTCAGTTGCCTTCAGGTCTAATCTCCATGCTATCTTTGCAAAAGTGTAACTGTGATACAATGGGGACATTGGGGACTAAATAAATCTCTTACCTGATGACAATCTCTATTACCACCACACGGATGGAGGAGATGATTCGGCCCGATGTGTCTTAGTTCCAACTCCTAGTGCTTGTTTAACCTCTTAAGGATCGGACCCTTTTTTTCAATTTTCGCCTAAAATGACATACCTAAATCTAACTGCCTGTAGCTCAGGACCTGAAGCAAGGATATGCATATTTTTGATACCATTTGAAAGGAAACACTTTGAAGTTTGTGGAAATGTGTAATTAATGTAGGAGAATATAACACATAAGATCTGGTAAAAGATAATACAAACAAAAAAACATGCAGGTTTATTTCTTTATTTTTTAATCAGCTTTGAAATGCAAGAGAAAGGCCACAATGTAGCTCAGCTGGTAGAGCACGGCGCTTGTAACGCCAAGGTAGTGGGTTCGATCCCCGGGACCACCCATACACAAAAATGTATGCACGCATGACTGTAAGTCGCTTTGGATAAAAGCGTCTGCTAAATGGCATATTATTATATTATTATATTATAATATTGCAGATTAGGCGCAATTTAGATGTTGGCCACTAGATGGCAGCAGGGTGCGCGCAAAGTTTCAGATTGATCCAGTGAAGCATTGCAATACTGGACTATTTTGTATCAAGTCTGCCCAAATGTGCCGAATTGGTCAATTGATAAATTTTCAAGTACAGTCGTGGTCAAAAGTTTTGAGAATGACACAAGTATTGGTCTTCACAACGTTCGCTGCTTCAGTGTTATGAGATATTTTTGTCAGATGTTACTATGGTATACTGAAGTATAATTAAAAGCATTCCATAAGTGTCAAAGGCTTTTATTGACAATGACATTAAGTTTACGCAAAGAGTCAATATTTGCAGTGTTGACCCTTCTTTTTCAAGACCTCTGCAATCCGCCCTGGCATGCTGTCAATTAACTTCTGGGTCACATCCTGACCACATCCGAATTTGTGGGTTTTTGTTTGTCCACCCGCCTCTTGAGGATCGACCACAAGTTCTCAATGGTATTAAGGTCTGGGGAGTTTCCTGGCCATGGACCCAACATGTCGATGTTTTGTTCCCTGAGCCACTTAGTTATCACTTTTGCCTTATGGCAAGGTGTTCCATCATGCTGGAAAAGGCATTGGTCGTCACCAAACTGTTCTTGGGTGGTTGGGAGAAGTTGCTCTCGGAGGATGTGTTGGTACCATTCTTTATTCATGGCTGTGTTCTCAGGCAAAAATGTGAGTGAGCCCACTCCCTTGGCTGAGAAGCAACCCCACACATGAATGGTCTCAGGATGCTTTACTGTTGGCATGACACAGGACTGATGGTAGCGCTCACCTTGTCTTCTCCGGACAAGGTGTTTTCCGGATGCCCCAAACAATCGGAAAGGGGATTCATCAGATAAAATGACTTTACCCCAGTCCTCAGCAATCCAATCCCTGTACCTTTTGCAGAATATCAGTCTGTCCCTGATGTTTTTCCTGGAGAGAAGTGGCTTCTTTGCTGCCCTTCTTGACACCAGGCCATCCTCCAAAAGTCTTCGCCTCACTGTGCGTGCAGATGCACTCACACCTGCCTGCTGCCATCCCTGAGCAAGCTCTGCACTGGTGTTGCACCGATCCCGCAGCTGAATCAACTTTATGAGACGGTCCTGGCGCTTGCTGGACTTTCTTGGGTACCCTGACACCTTCTTCACAACAATTGAACCTCTCTCCTTGAAGTTCTTGATGATCCGATAAATGGTTGATTTAGGTGCAATCTTACTAGCAGCAATATCCTTGCCTGTGAAGCCCTTTTTGTGCAAAGCAATGATGACGGCACGTGTTTCCTTGCAGGTAACCATGGTTAACAGAGGAAGAACAATGATTTCAAGCACCACCCTCCTTTTAAAGCTTCCCGTCTGTTATTCTAACTCAATCAGCATGACAGAGTGATCTTCAGCCTTGTCCTCGTCAACACTCTCACCTGTGTTAACGAGAGAATCACTGACATGATGGCAGCTGGTCCTTTTGTGGCAGGGCTGAAATGCAGTGGAAATGTTTTTTTGGGATTAAGTTCATTTTCATGGCAAAGAGGGACTTTGCAATTAATTGCAATTCATCTGATCACTCTTCATGACATTCTGGAGTATATGCAAATTGCCATCATCAAAACTGAGGCAGCAGACTTTGTGAAAATTAGTATGTGTGTCATTCTCAAAACGTTTGACCACGACTGTACATAACTATAGAGAACATACAAAAATGATATGGTAATACAAAATGTAAGTTTACACACTCCCAGGAATGTCATACATGATGGATCATTAGCTTATACACTAACTTTCACGCCGGGTGGGGTGGGTGTGGAGCTAGAGACAGCAGGGGTTCAAACTGTAGAATCCATTTCCTACATTTGAATATAAAAATTGATTTTATCAAACAAAACTATGCTACATTTTATCTCTGGGACCCTTAGGATGACAAATCAGAGCAAGATTACTGAATGTAAGTACAGTGGGGAAAAAAAGTATTTAGTCAGCCACCAATTGTGCAAGTTCTCCCACTTAAAAATATGAGAGATGCCTGTAATTTTCATCATAGGTACACGTCAACTATGACAGACAAATTGAGAAAAAAAAATCCAGAAAATCACATTGTAGGATTTTTAATGAATTTATTTGCAAATTATGGTGGAAAATAAGTATTTGGTCACCTACAAACAAGCAAGATTTCTGGCTCTCACAGACCTGTAACTTCTTCTTTAAGAGGCTCCTCTGTCCTCCCCTCGTTACCTGTATTAATGGCACCTGTTTGAACTTGTTATCAGTATAAAATACACCTGTCCACAACCTCAAACAGTCACACTCCAAACTCCACTATGGCCAAGACCAAAGAGCTGTCAAAGGACACCAGAAACAAAATTGTAGACCTGCACCAGGCTGGGAAGACTGAATCTGCAATAGGTAAGCAGCTTGGTTTGAAGAAATCAACTGTGGGAGCAATTATTAGGAAATGGAAGACATACAACACCACTGATAATCTCCCTCGATCTGGGGCTCCACGCAAGATCTCACCCCGTGGGGTCAAAATGATCACAAGAACGGTGAGCAAAAATCCCAGAACCACACGGGGGGACCTAGTGAATGACCTGCAGAGAGCTGGGACCAAAGTAACAAAGCCTACCATCAGTAACACACTACGCCGCCAGGGACTCAAATCCTGCTGTGTCCCCCTGCTTAAGCCAGTACATGTCCAGGCCCGTCTGAAGTTTGCTAGAGTGCATTTGGATGATCCAGAAGAGGATTGGGAGAATGTCATATGGTCAGATGAAACCAAAATAGAACTTTTTGGTAAAAACTCAACTCATCGTGTTTGGAGTACAAAGAATGCTGAGTTGCATCCAAAGAACACCATACCTACTGTGAAGCATGGGTGTGGAAACATCATGCTTTGGGGCTGTTTTTCTGCAAAGGGACCAGGACGACTGATCCGTGTAAAGGAAAGAATGAATGGGGCCATGTATCGTAAGATTTTGAGTGAAAACCTCCTTCCATCAGCAAGGGCATTGAAGATGAAACGTGGCTGGGTCTTTCAGCATGACAATGATCCCAAACACACCGCCTGGGCAACGAAGGAGTGGCTTCGTAAGAAGCATTTCAAGGTCCTGGAGTGGCCTAGCCAGTCTCCAGATCTCAACCCCATAGAAAATCTTTGGAGGGAGTTGAAAATCCGTGTTGCCCAGCGACAGCCCCAAAACATCACTGCTCTAGAGGAGATCTGCATGGAGGAATGGGCCAAAATACCAGCAACAGTGTGTGAAAACCTTGTGAAGACTTACAGAAAACGTTTGACCTGTGTCATTGCCAACAAAGGGTATATAACAAAGTATTGAGAAACTTTTGTTATTGACCAAATACTTATTTTCCACCATAATTTGCAAATAAATTCATAAAAAATCCTACAATGTGATTTTCTGGAATTTCTTTTCTCATTTTGTCTGTCATAGTTGACGTGTACCTATGATGAAAATTACAGGCCTCTCTCATCTTTTTAAGTGGGAGAACTTGCACAATTGGTGGCTGACTAAATACTTTTTTTCCCCACTGTACATTATTTACCTTCAGAGGTGAATGTATCAAACCAGTTGCCGTGATACGTTTTTTGTTGTTGTGCACTCTCCTCAAACAATAGCATGGTATGTTTTCACTGTAATAGCTACTGTAAATTGGACAGTGCAGTTAGATTAACAATAATTTAAGCTTTCTGCCCATATAAGACATGTCAATGTCCTGGAAAGTTTGCTGTTACTTACAACAGTCATGCTAATCATATTAGCGCACATTAGCTCAACCGTCCCGTATACGGGACACCGATCCCGTAGAGGTTAAAGAGCTGAACTCTCAGGGCTGGTTTCCAGGTCCGAAATTAAGCCTAGTCCTGGACTAAAAACAAGCTTAATGGAGAATATCCATTAAAGGTGCTTTGTAGGCCAGGTCTAAGCTTAATCACAATCACTTAATCACTCTGGGTAAACAGCCCCTTTTGATATTTTATCTACAATCCCACCCCAATAGACTGTTGAACAGGACATATCTCTGTACCACCCTGATACTGAGGCTGATGCCTTGAAAGGTACACAACTGTATTCAGCCCTGCTGCACTGTACACCCCTTCAGAAATGAATTGGCTCAGCCACATGTCAGCATGGAGGAAAATGTGTAAGAAATCCCATCACTCATCCCAGTACTGACAAAGAAAAGCGCTAATGGCCGCAATCTAGGGTTTACGTCAATCAGTGAGCTTTATTACACTATATATACAAAAGTATGTGGACACCTCTTAAAATGTGTGGATTCGGCTATTTCAGCCACACCCGTTGCTGACAGGTGCATAAAATCGAGCACACCGCCATGCAATCTCCATAGACAAACATTGGCAGTAGAGTGGCAGTAGAGAGCTCAGTGACTTTCAACGTGGCACAGTCATACATTTACATTTACGTCATTTAGCATAGGATGCCACCTTTCCAACAAGTCAGTTTGTCAAATTTCTGCCCTGCTAGAGCAGCCCCGGTCAACTGTAAGTGCTGTGATTGTGAAGGGGAAACGTCTAGGAGCAACAAGCCGCGAAGTGGTAGGCCACACAAGCTCACAGAACGGGACCGCCGAGTGCTGAATCGCGTAGTGCGTAAAAATCGTCTGTCCTCGGTTGCAACACTCACTACCAAGTTCCAAACTGCCTCTGGAAGCAACGTCAGCACAAGAACTGTACGTCTGGAGCTTCATGAAATGGGTTTCCATGGCCGAGCAGCCTCACACAAGCCTAAGATCACCATGCGCAATGCCAAGCGTCGGCTGGAGTGGTGTAAAGCTCACCGCCATTGGACTCTGGAGCAGTGGAAACACGTTCTCTGAGTGATGAATCACGCTTCACCATCTGGCAGTCCGAAGCACGAATCTGGGTTTGGCGGAGGAGGAATAATGGTCTGGGGCTGTTTTTCATGGTTCGGGCTAGGCCCCTTAGTTCCAGTGAAGGGAAATCTTAGCGCTACAGCATACAATGACATTCTAGACGATTCTGTGCTTCCAACTTTGTGGCAACAGTTTGGGGGAAGGCCCTTTCCTGTTTCAGCATTACAATGACCCCATGCACAAAGGGAGGTCCATACAGAAATAATTTGTTGAGATTGGTGTGGAAGAACTTGACTGGCCTGCACAGAGCCCTGACCTCAACCCCATCGAACACCTTTGGGATGAATTGAAACACCGACTGCGAGCCAGGCCTAATCGCCCAACATCAGTGCCCGACCTCACTAATGCGTTTGTGGCTGAATGGAAGCCGCAGCAATGTTCCAACATCTAGTGGAAAGCCTTCCCAGAAGAGTGGAGTCTGTTAAAGCAGCAAAGGGGGGACCAACTCCATATGAATGCCCATGATTTTTGAATGAGATGTTCGACAAGCAGGTGTCCACATACTTTTGGTCATGTAGTGTATCTCAGACAGGAAATAGACCACAGTCCCTCTGTCTTTGTCAGCACACAACTATAATGGAGCATTTATAATCCCCTAATTACTAAATGTATTTTTATGCTGTCTTTTTTGTTGGTGGGTGAGATTTACAAAAGATTCCCCACATTCAGCTTCCTGACGCAGTACGTTTTGTCCCTGCGGTACTGTTACAGTTACAGTACACCTGAGTTACAGTGTATCAGATGCCCACGGACTGGTCTGAACTGGTCTCACAGACCCACCTAGCCCTCACAGCTAGGCTACCGCTATCCTGTCCAAACACAGTAGCACCAAGGACAAGAGAAACACTGTTACAACAGGAGCTGTTTTGGCCACAACAGCAGGCTAGGAATCCACTGAAATAGAAACCACAGGTGTTTGTACATAACCTTTACACCCCAATACAGTTAATTAGGGTGTCATAAATTATGTTTATGTCTTGGTATGCATATAGCCTAGTAAGCCTACCACCCTCTCCTCTCATTTTCACTCAAATGTATAATGTGGGAGGAATGAGCCAAGAGTGAAGGAATCAAGAGCTGTGTAAACTGTGTCTGGGAGGTGGGTGTGGGGGGCAGTAAGGAAAAGATGATGAGGTGTTATCACAGAAAGGTGTACTTGTGAAAAGCCTGGTCGTTAAAGGGAGAGAACTAGAGACCATCTCAAGGTGACCAGGCAGTCACCCTGCTTTCTACTTCTACTATAAAGAAAAGTGAAGTATTTATTGTTGTGAACCCTAGACTATGATGTGAACAGTGAATTGGATGATTTTCCATGAAGTGACACTGACACTTCCCTATCATGGTCATCCATATCAGCAGAAAGAAAGCTATTTTTGCAAGGAGTTTCCCAGTGAAAGGACAAATTGTTGATGTTCCCACTTCATTAAAATAAAAAAAAGCCAAGATCAGAATTACATGGTAAGTAGGGCTGAAGTCTCAGATAATGTGCACAGTCACGACGGCTTTGCTTTTGTGGCTCTTTATCTGGCCTAGTACTGGACATGAAACCTCTCAAGCTTAAAGAAAGAACGCCTCAGTGGTGCTTTTGTCATGTCACTGTCTGCCACTTATTTGGCAATGTCAATTAGCATTGATTTCACCAAACATTTAGAGTCAATGAACCTCTACCCAAGAGGATAATTATTCTACTTCCATTGTCTTCATACAATAACAGCGTTGAAAGCCCAGTGGAATGCACAGAGTCAAAACATTCCGACCCACTCGATTAGCTCTTCAGTCTGGATGTGTATTAGCGTGTAACACTGTAGTGTCTTTAAAGAGTTATCCTCACCTCACAGACAGGTTAAGTGAGCCTTCAGAGTGAAGGTCACAGCTCTCGTGAGCGCAGTCAGTCCACTCAATAAAGCGTTGTGGTCACGCTACTGAGAACGTCTGTGTTGTTTTTAGCTCAGAGAACGGAGCGTCTTCACTTTGTATCCATAGAGAGAAATAGTTATGGCGTCTTTTTGTAAGCACTAACTCTGCTATTGGTTCGTTGGACAAAGCCTATGGGGAAAATTAATGGCGTTTTTGTAGGGTTTTGGGATAAACGCCGAAAATAAGGTCTGTGTTAAACACAGGTTTAGGAGATCATATACGTTTTGTTCTATGAGATCATTTTCATCAGCTAACGTCACTTTTTGTGAATTTTGAAGAATGTATGTAATAAAAAAAGCACATAAAGGCTTCAAAGGTCATGTTAACTGACTGCTGTTACAGTGGGGGAAAAAAGTATTTAGTCAGCCACCAATTGTGCAAGTTCTCCCACTTAAAAAGATAAGAGAGGCCTGTAATTTTCATCATAGGTACACGTCAACTATGACAGACAAAATGAGAAAAAAAAATCCAGAAAATCACATTGTAGGATTTTTTATGAATTAATTTGCAAATTATGGTGGAAAATAAGTATTTGGTCAATAACAAAAGTTTCTCAATACTTTGTTATATACCCTTTGTTGGCAATGACACAGGTCAAACGTTTTCTGTAAGTCTTCACAAGATTTTCACACACTGTTGCTGGTATTTTGGCCCATTCCTCCATGCAGATCTCCTCTAGAGCAGTGATGTTTTGGGGCTGTCACTGGGCAACACAGACTTTCAACTCCCTCCAAAGATTTTCTATGGGGTTGAGATCTGGAGACTGGCTAGGCCACTCCAGGACCTTGAAATGATTCTTACGAAGCCACTCCTTTGCCCGGGCGGTGTGTTTGGGATCATTGTCATGCTGAAAGACCCAGCCACGTTTCATCTTCAATGCCCTTGCTGATGGAAGGAGGTTTTCACTCAAAATCTCACGATACATGGCCCCATTCATTCTTTCCTTTACACGGATCAGTCGTCCTGGTCCCTTTGCAGAAAAACAGCCCCAAAGCATGATGTTTCCACCCCCATACTTCACAGTAGGTATGGTGTTCTTTGGATGCAACTCAGCATTCTTTGTCCTCCAAACACGACGAGTTGAGTTTTTACCAAAAAGTTATATTTTGGTTTCATCTGACCATATGACATTCTCCCAATCCTCTTCTGGATCATCCAAATGCACTCTAGCAAACTTCAGACGGGCCTGGACATGTACTGGCTTAAGCAGGGGGACACGTCTGGCACTGCAGGATTTGAGTCCCTGGCGGCGTAGTGTGTTACTGATGGTAGGCTTTGTTACTTTGGTCCCAGCTCTCTGCAGGTCATTCACTAGGTCCCCCTGTGTGGTTCTGGGATTTTTGCTCACCGTTCTTGTGATAATTTTGACCCCACGGGGTGAGATCTTGCGTGGAGCCCCAGATCGAGGGAGATTATCAGTGGTCTTGTATGTCTTCCATTTCCTAATAATTGCTCCCACAGTTGATTTCTTCAAACCAAGCTGCTTACCTATTGCAGATTCAGTCTTCCCAGCCTGGTGCAGGTCTACAATTTTGTTTCTGGTGTCCTTTGACAGCTCTTTGGTCTTGGCCATAGTGGAGTTTGGAGTGTGACTGTTTGAGGTTGTGGACAGGTGTCTTTTATACTGATAACAAGTTCAAACAGGTGCCATTAATACAGGTAACGAGTGGAGGACAGAGGAGCCTCTTAAAGAAGAAGTTACAGGTCTGTGAGAGCCAGAAATCTTGCTTGTTTGTAGGTGACCAAATACTTATTTTCCACCATAATTTGCAAATAAATTCATAAAAAATCCTACAATATGATTTTCTGGATTTTTTTCTCTCAAATTGTCTGTCATAGTTGGCGTGTACCTATGATGAAAATTACAGGCCTCTCTCATCTTTTTAAGTGGGAGAACTTGCACAATTGGTGGCTGACTAAATACTTTTCCCCCCCACTGTATCTCATAGAACAAAACGTATAAGATCTCTTAAGCCTGTGTTAACCTCAGACCTTATTTTCGGCATTTATTCCAAAACCCTATTCTTTTCCCAGTCATTTTTCCCATAGGGATGGCTGAACGAACCAGAGGTCACTCATTTCTGGGTTTTAGGACTACAAGCTGAGGAGATTTATTCCCCACCCCCTATACATCTCGTCTGTGCAGATAATTACGTCTTAACACGGCCCTGTAGAAACTCAGACGCATGTCTTTGTGACATTCCTTGGAGCCCTGGAGTGTTTGGAGTGTCCTGGCTGGCTGTGAGCTGTACCCTGAAGCCAAACTCTGAGGGCACCCTTGGTTCTTTACTGACAAATGACACATTGCTGTTACTATTGAAATGCTCTGACCTGGGTGGAGTTAAACTTAAGTGGATGGTTCTCTACCTACACAGTATGGAACTGAAGGATGCGTTAGTCACGTGTATCATGCCAGCTGATGCAAATAACAGTGTGATACATGTCATCTATAGACACCATATGTCATGAGAGGTTGAGATCAGTTTTTCAGCTTTTTAAGATCTTGTAAGGCTGTTGTGCAGGTAAAACCAGACAGATCTGGGTCAAAATATTTGTTTAAATGTCAAACGTCAAATATGTCACTGAGGATTTTCCTCTTCTACCTCTTTTGGTTGGTTGCTCTCTACTCATGTTGTCTCTGGGTAGTCAGTAGTCACTGATCAGTACTGAAACAAAACCAGGCAGTGGTTTGTAAATCCTTCTGGTTGAGGCTGGCTGCCTTCTGGATGAACCAGCTGAACCGGCAGCCCTACTATAACTATGCATTAGGTAACCAAAATCATGACAGCTGTGATGGAAACAGGAAGTTTCGGAACAATTCTATGAATGATCATTTGTTCATTGGACATGGTGGGATCTTTTTGTGTCTGTAAAATTAATTAATGCGCGAAATGGCTCTGAAAATACCTTTATGTGCAAATATTGATATAATAGCCATTATATCGAAGTAAACTTCGAGTCACGTGATGATATGTTGTGTGGTCCTCCCACTACAACTCGGGAAAGCATGCCGTTTATTAGGATACAGATGAAATAAGTTATGATGAACTTAACAGAGTGATGTGCACGATGATGAGCTTGATGGTACTTTCCAATAAATATCGAGGGTCTTATTCTGATGACATGATGATCGATGTTTGGCTGCCGTTTGACCAATGTAAATCTATCTCTCTCTTTTGTCCATAATTAAAGAAATCTCATCAAGTAGGTAGCCTACCCACACTGTATCTGTGAGCTGTTGGCTAGAGCACATGTGCAAAGACCAGAATTGGCACATTCGCTATATAATGCAAATGTTTTGTGACAAACCCATCAGTAGAGTTGAAAATGCGATGGAAACCCATTTACTTGTATTTTTTATTCGGTACATAAGAATTTAACCGCAAAACTTATTTTTATGTGCACTACAACATATTTTTATCCGCAATAAGTCAATTTGATGGAAAATCTCTGGTGGGAAAGTGCGCAGATTTTAGAATATTCACATGAAAATCTGACGCCAATTGGATGGAAACCTAGCTAATGGAATCAACATTTGAGATGGTACTTTATTATTTACCAGTCTGGGTCAATTTCAATTTAATTACTGCCAATTCGCTAATGCAGATATTTCAGTATTTTCATTTTCCGAACTGAATCTACTCAATTGACATGTAATGATATTGACACAATTTGCTTATTTTAAGCCAGCATCAACTCAGCTGTTGACCTGTTATCATCCTTTATTCACACCTTGCCTCGGTGCATGACAATGTAAACTCACTGTGATGTCAGAATCTGGTTTATCCTGCATGGTCTCTCCTTTGATATGTCTCATTTCGTTGTTAGCACTCTGAAAGAGGAAGTTGGCAACATTTTATTTTACGGTGCTGTATTGTTAATTGGTAGGAAATTATATGGCATCAATGGAAATGTACTAGTCACTTAGGCTACATAGAATAATTCAACTCTACAGTACCTGATACCTAGTGGTGCTTCCCAGAGAATCCCCCCAAAATAATAAAGTAATTCATGTTATTACAATGTTGCCTTGTAAGTACATAGGTCTACCTGGTCATTGCTGTACTCGTTGCAGAAAGCTGAGTGTTATGGTCGTATGTAGGGTTAATGACGGAGAGTTCAAGTGAAGTGTCACTGATATTAATGTTACATAACATACCCCCCAATCACACACACACACACAGAACTTGGCCTTTGAGTCCAAGCCAGTGTCGGAAAGCAGAGTGGCTGAGAACGCAGCCGGTAGCTCCCAGTGATTAGCAGAGGAAAGGCCCCTTTTCACGGCTGCCCCCCGCCTGGACGCCGCCTCGCGACACCAAGATAATGGGCCCATTGTTGGCCTGCAGGAAGCGAACAAAGACGGCACTGTCCCCCTTTCCCTCTACTCTCCATATCTGTGTCTGAGCTTTGATTTCCCCCTGGTCAGCCAACAAGTATCTGTTGAGCAGTAATCTGAGTGGGGAACAGCAGGCCCTGTCCCTGGCCTGGCACTGCCCTCACAGCCTTTCCTCTCCTCTGTACCCTGCCATTATCCTGGCACACAGAATGAGATGATTAGGGAAACCCAATCTGGTGGGAGTAGCCTTAATGCTGCTGTGCTCTGGTGGGATGAAAGGAGAAGGGTTGTCTAGTCTGCTGCTTCCTCAGCCCTCCTGACAGACTGATGGTTGTTTGTTGGGCAGGTAGAAAGCTTATTAGGAGTGTCGTTGAGGGTGAATAACCCCTCGTCTGTGTCTTTGGTACCCAGAGTGAGAGGGGAGGGAGGTTGTGCAAAAATAACACTTTTGCCCTTTTGAGTCTTTTGTTGAATCTGAGTTAATTGCTTCCTCCCGTTTCAGGATGGTGTCATCTCAGTCAAGGACATTGACCTGGTAATGTCAGAGGGGCTGGGAATGCGCTACGCTTTTATTGGTCCCATGGAAACCATGCACCTTAATGCACCTGAAGGTAAGTTCCTCCTTTAACTTACACATAGAGAGACCGTCCCCAAAGAATACATATTTATATACTGTCCTCTTTGTCCTGTGTGATTGTGGCAAATTTAACCATGTACAATTATGGTTGTGTGAGAGGCAGAGTTTAAGACCAGACCTTGATATTAGGGTTCAAAGAGGTCGCTCTGCTAGACCCTGAACATCTGTTAAGGAAAGGGGGAACTGTGGCCCTCACATGCCTCACATGTCTCAGTCCCCTTTTACCATATAGGTATATATTGGGGGAAGGCGTGGGTGTGTGCGTGTGTGTTTGAGAGCGAGAGAGAAAGTGTTTGTGCACTTGCGCATGTGTGAGTCTGTGAGAGAGAGCGAAAGAGCGAGAGAGCGAGAGAGAGAGATGTCATATAGATGGGGAAGTGTGAAAACTAAAGGGTGTCCTTGCTCTGGCTGCACCACCGTGCTCAGAGAGAGAGAGAGCACTTTGGCAGAACAAAGCTGTCTTTTGATCAACACAGATTAATGAACGCCCTCACACCAGTCATCTAAAACCACTATTACCAGGGAGGAATACATGTTGTACAGTACTCACACATTCTACTTTACCTGTTTAGCTTTTCTCTTAATAATTTTTTATACCAGTCCTATTGTGCAAGTCCATGGACATCTTCTCAAGTGATTAACATTTTTACATTTTAGTCATTTAGCAGACGCTCTTATCCAGAGCGACTTACAGTTAGTGAATACATAATTATTATTTTTTTTATACTGGCCCCCCGTTGGAATCGAACCCACAACCCTGGCGTTGCAAACGCCATGCTCTATCAACTGAGCTACATCCCTGCCGGCCATTCCCTCCCCTACCCTGGACGACGCTGGGCCAATTGTGCGCCGCCCATGAGTCTCCCGGTCGCGGCCGGCTGCGACAGAGCCTGGATTCGAACCAGGATCTCTAGTGGCACAGTTAGCACTGCGATGCAGTGCCTTAGACCACTGTGCCACTGTAGTAAAATAAACTTATTTGCTTAGTTACGTGTGTGTTTTTATTTCTCCCATTGCATTAAATAAAAACAACAGTGGCATGTGTTACAGCATGTTGCTCAGAACCTCCAAAGGTTACTCAAGCCCATTCCTGTTGTGACTGTAGGTCATCTTGTCTAACCAGTCCAATCAGATAGTAAAACACTCAGGTCCACTCTCTGCTTTGCTCTGGCTGAGTGACTATACTTTCCAGTTAGGGCACAGAAGAGCCCTTAAACCAGAAAACAGAGGCATTTTATCAGCTAAACATGAGACTGAAGGAGCCATGCACTTATTTTGTTCAGACTATTGAAGCAGAAGAAAGAGGGAGAGAAAGGATCGCTGAAATTGGCCTAGTCAGGTGAGGTTTCTCCCACCAAAAACATACACTACCGGTCAAAAGTTTTAGAACACCTACTCATTCAAGGATTTTTCTTAATTTTTAATATTTTCTACATTGTAGAATAATAGTGAAGACATCAAAACTATGAAATAACACATGGAATCATGTAGTAACCAAAAAAGTGTTAAACAAATCAAAATATATTTTATATTTGAGATTCTTCAAATAGCCACCCTTTGCCTTGATGACAGCTTTGCACACTCTTGGCATTCTCTCAACCAGCTTCATGAGGTAGTCACCTGGAATGCATTTCAATTAACAGGTGTGCCTTCTTAAAAGTTAATTTGTGTGTGTGTGTGTGGGGGGGGGGGGGGGGGGGTGTATACAGAAGATAGCCCTATTTGGTAAAAGACCAAGTCCATATTATGGCAAGAACAGCTCAAATAAGCAAAGAGAAATGACAGTCCATCATTACTTTAATGTGAGTCAATACGGAAAATTTCAAGAACTTTAAAAGTTTCTTAAAGTGCAGTCGCAACCATCAAGCGCTATGATGACACAGGCTCTCATGAGGACCGCCACAGGAATGGAAGACCCAGAGTTACCTCTGCTACAGAGGATAAGTTCATTAGAGTTACCAGCCTCAGAAATTGCAGCCCAAATAAATGCTTCACAGAGTTCAAGTAACAAACACATCTCAACATCAACTGTTTAGAGGAGACTGTGTGAATCAGGCCTTCATGGTCGAATTGCTGCAAAGAAACCAATACTAAAGGACACCAATAAAAAGAAGAGACTTGCTTGGGCCAAGAAACACAAGCAATGGACATTAGACTGGTGGAAATTTGTCCTTAGGTCTGGAGTCCAAATTTGAGATTTTTGTTTCCAACCGCCGTGTCTTTGTGAGACGCGGTGTGGGTGGAGGGATGATCTCCGCATGTATATTTCCCACCGTAAAGCATGGAGGAGGAGGTGTTATGGTGTGGGGGTGCTTTGCTGGTTACACTGTCTGTGATTTATTTAGAATACAATGCACACTTAACCAGCATGGCTACCACAGCATTCTGCAGCGATACGCCATCCCATCTGGTTTGGGCTTAGTGGGACTATCATTTGTTTTTCAACAGGACAATGACCCAACACACCTCCAGGCTGTGTAAGGGCTATTTGACCAAGAAGGAGAGTGATGGAGTGCTGCATCAGATGACCTGGCCTCCACAATCCCCTGACCTCAACCAATCGGACCGCAGAGTGAAGAAAAAGCAGCCAACAAGTGCTCAGCATATGTGGGAACTCCTTCAAGACTGTTGGAAAAGCATTCCAGGTGAAGCTGGTTGAGAGAATGCCAAGAGTGTGCAAAGCTGTCATCAAGGCAAAGGGTGGCTATTTGAAGAATCTCACATTTTGATTTGTTTAACACTATTTTGGTTACTACATGATTCCATATGTGTTATTTCATAGTTTTGATGTCTTCACTATTATTGTACAATGTAGAAAATATTAAAAATAAAGAAAAGCCCTTGAATGAGTAGGTGTTCTAAAACTTTTGACTGGTAGTGTAACTCTGTGAGAGAGCTTAGCTGGACGTAGCTGGCAGTTATCACACTGAAGTGTTAGCTTTAGTCTGTCCCTGTAATGTTCATGTACACATTTATTGTTCAACTTGGTAGTAAGAAAACAGGGGGAATAGCATTTTACACCCAATAAACAAGTTACTAATTTAAATGCTTAAACCCTAGAACTCTAGAGCACTTACTAGAATCATTATAGAATACGACTAAATTACTTGGAAGACGTTCATTTTTGGTCATAGTGAGACCATGCAGATCTGTTTTGCTGTTCTGAACGTCTGAAACAAATACAAATAAGATCTTCTCATTGACTTAAAGTCTGGCCAACCTTCTCTGTATGGTCCACTCCCCCAGGTCTGGAGGACTATCTCCAGCGCTACAGAGAGGGCATGAGGAGCGTTCTGACCGCCTTTGGACCTGTTCCCGAATTCTCTGGGGAGGCAGCCGAGCGCATCAACAAAGTAGGCTTATGTGTTTGTGTGTTGTACTGTTTGTACTAACTCCTCTAGATTCTAGGAAAAATATCTTCAGATTTGACTCATCAAGTTCAAGAAAGTGCGAAAAACTGGGTTAGTTCAAAGAGGGCAATGTTTACGTATGGAACTTTTAGTCCAAGGAGCTCAAGGTCGAGCGTTCTACATATTTCCCCCTCTAGGACTATACTCTGTTAATTAGACATTACTCAACCACATGCCGTCAGGCTGTTCAAACATCATTCTCCACACTCAGATGGAGGCCGTCGTGTGAGAACACCCTGACCATAAGCATAAAATATTTCACAAGCATAAAATATTTCAAATTGGACCGATTTAATGCATCCAAGTGTATCCAACCAAGGAAATATTTTACCAGGCCAATAGCGGAAAGAAATCCCAGCAGCTAAAACTACAATTAATGATCTCTCTACCAATCTCATCCTCTCCCTCCCTCCCTTCCTTTTCTGATGTATCCCTACAGGAGATGTGTGAGCTGATCCCAGCTGACCCGCAGCACCTGTCTGCCAGGAGAGAGATGAGGGATCAGCTCCTCATGGGCCTGGCCAAGCTCAAAAAGTGACCACAGGACTATCACCACCACTGATGAACAGGGTGGGCTGGTGTCTGAGACTCTGCTGTCCATCACTCAGGCCTTCACTGACCCTCACTCAGCCCGAGGAGCATTGGTGATGAGGATGACCTGATCTCTCAGTGGTGCCTACACTGGGGATGTTACTGAATACTGTAGCCCTGAGTCCTCACACACAATCGCTCAACCAATCTGGGATGTTACTGTAGGAGCCATCACACAAAATATACTAATCTGGGGATCTCAGAAATATAACCACCACATGTTTTATGCAATCAACAAGTTGATGATCAGACAAGGGAATTAATGGTTTGGTCATACCACAATGGCTTCTTGAATTATGAATTGGAATTATTAATGTGAAAAACGTTTTTGTTCGATTTGTTTGATTACAATGTTGAATTTTTCAAGGATTGTAATACATTTTAATTGTCCTTATCAAGAACTATAGATTTAAAATAAATAAGAAACATGAATTGATTGAGGATACATCATAGGGTTTTTCATATTGTGTTGTGTCACATTTTGGACAGCTATGATTGGGATCTGTTAAATGTGTTGAACATAAAAATAAATTGTTCAGGTGATCTTGTGACTCATGATGACTATGTACTTTATACAGTATGCTTAACCAAATTAACACCGAATTCAAGTGTCTCTTTCTGTGTTGTGTCTCGATCTGTCAACAGTAAATTTGAAATTAATGTGATCACAGGATGTATTCAGTGAAATTAGATAAAACCTTCATAATGTTTAATCATATAGAGCTGATACAACACTCTACTCTACATGACAGACACATTCATCTAAAAGTTGCACCCTCCTGAACCAGAGTATGTGAGCAGAGCTGGAGCAGAGCGAGGAGTGGAGCGTGACCTATTTGACTGGAGCTCAGGGCATGCCCGGCCCAGCATGCACTTGTAGTCTACTTGTGTGCTGCTATAGCCCCTTGCTTTAGCTACTGTCATTTAGTATATTAAATATTTTCATAAAGAAACTGATAATACACTGAGGTGAAAAATCAAGGTGACTTACAAAGATAAAGAGGACCGAGAGCAAGAGAGGGAGTGCGGTGATGTAGTGTCCACAACTAAGGAATCATTGTGGAATCTGAAAAGACACGTATCCCGAAAGCGTGATGGTGTACGTGCTACGTGCAAATGTTAACAGAAAGAAACGAGGTTGGTAGCTAGCTAAGTGTGTCATTGTAGCAAAGTATTTATTAACAAAAAATCTGATCTCTTAAAAGTTTCGTTAATTTTCGTTCTATTTATACAATCAGTGGCGATTTTAGCATGTAAAAAATGTGTGGAGTGGTTGAAAAACGAGTTTTAATGACTCCAACCTAAGTGTATGTAAACTTCCGACTTTAACTGTATCTCCCTGGCATATTACATCATTTATGCAGCAGCATACAATAAATTTTTGGACTCACCTTGTTGTGCTGTGCTCACTTGAACAGGAGGGTGGCGCAGCGGTCCTTCATGGGCAAATTTTGTTGTCAAACTTTGTCATCAAAGTCTGGCATTCTCTGGATCTATGGTGCTTTCAAGACAACTGGGAACTCTGAAAAAAACAAGGTTGAATCATGATGACGTCAGTGATCTTCAGGTCGTAGCTCTAGAAAGAGGCCCGAGTTCTGGATTTACAATTCCGAGTTGGATGACCGTTCAAAACGTATTTTCCCAGTCGGAGCTCATTTTTCCCGAGTTCCCAGTTGTCTTGAACTCACTGAAGTCAGATTTCACAGTTCCGAGTTAACAGTTATTTTGAGCGCGGCACAAATCATGCTTCATTGAAAGCATGGCCGATGTTGAATGTTTATCATTTTAAGCTTGGAAAAGATACCCTTAATCCCAGACTTGGGACCACACAGCCACTCCACTGAATAGCAGGCTAGTGATTGCTTTCCAATGTTTGCAGTTAGCCACTGATTCCTTCCAAACCATTCATTGTTGAATTTGCGATTTCCAACTTGTTGTGTAATGTTTATGTCCAATGGCCGATGTGCACGATACATTTTATCTATAATTTCTCTTCATTATTTATCTTCGTATGACAAGGATTAATAAGGATTTGCCAGTAGATTGTCGACTTCATTCATGATGATGACTGCTAGCTAAGATTTTGAAAGTATGATGTTGACATGATCATTCCAATCAAAGCTACTGTAGATATAACGTGATTGGACGTCATTTTATCTGTGGCCAATGACCTTGAGCCTTCTTGGATGGGCACTTCTAATGTAACTCTATGGCAGCACCCAAGGGGCTTGAATTTTCGAGCTCTACCCTTATACTTGGCGGTGACATAGTGTCCCAATGAGTGACAGAACACTGAGCCAATCAAGGTGCAACTAGAGAAAATTACCAACACCTAAGCTCCATATTTTCCGCTGGCTGCCCCACCACCACAGAAAGCACTGAGCTAGGCTGAAACACCTGCATTTTGGAGCTGCCTTACTCAATAAAGCAAAAAAATAGACCATCTTTGGATGCGGCTTTATTAACTCAAATAGTTTTTATTTATTTGTTTTTTACATTGTTTGCAAACTGATAAGTGACACGTATTAATGCCAAAATAACATGCAAAACAGGCAAGCCCCCCAATTTTTTGGGGTTGTTTTATTTTTTATTATTATTTAATGAAAAAAATTAAAAGGCAATGTAGATGTAGTCTAATAAGGCATTTGAATTTAATTATAAGTAAGTCACAGGCTATATGTGCAATTTATAGACTAATGATTTAATACAACTAAATGTTATGTAAATGCTGAGCGCTTAATGTCCCTGCCAGCCTAGTGTGTCGAACTCGCAAATGCTTTAAAATGTACTGTATTTCTTTGTAGGCTACAGCCTTGAATAAATAATACAATAATTCATTTTCGTTCCTTCTTAGGCTACCTGTCTGGCTCCTGGCCTATTTAGAGAGTGTATATGCTGTTTAAATGACATGTAGCCTATTTAAAATGATGAGCGATTCTTACTGGCCCCGTTTCCGGTTGTTTATTAAAATACTTTTCATTGAAATCCTATGGTTTGGTTTCAATACTTCAAAACTAAATAGTAGGTCCTGGTAGTCATACAAATACATGGATGTTGGTTAAATTGTGATTTTAATGAATGGAGGGAATTTGGAGCGGCAGTTTCTTTTCCATTGAGAAAGGAGCGTTTTTTAGCAGAGCGGTTGAAAAGGACTTGGAGCTGCAGAGCGGGATCCGACTGCTCAACTCCGCTCACATAGGCCTACTCTGTCCTGAACATGTCCCAGTATTCCGATTAGCGAGTGGGGTTGATGAGTGCTCTTTTCCTTAGTCCCGCCCCGGTGGATCCTCCTCAAGAGGAGAAGATTATAAGAACTCAGGTGCATCTCTCCAGAGCTCACACGCGCAGCTTTCTCAGTTGGACTTGTGTCCAAACAACTCACACTTTACTATTCTGCGTTTGGAGTTACTTGACAAGACGGCGTTAAAAGAGCACCGAAAATTGAAAGATTATAAGAACTCAGGTGCATCTCTCCAGAGCTCACACGCGCAGCTTTCTCAGTTGGACTTGTGTCCAAACAACTCACACTTTACTATTCTGCGTTTGGAGTTACTTGACAAGACGGCGTTAAAAGAGCACCGAAAATTGAAGTTAATGGAAGTTTGCTGAAATTCCGAGAAAGTGGGAGGTGAGTTAGCTGTGATTTGTGAATCATTCGTTCCGCATACTCAACGGTTTTATTCGGCTTTATGTAATGATACAGCCACTGGTGATTGAGATTTAGATGTTTTCCCCCTTATATACAGGTTAGAATTGTCAGGTTAGAAATTCGATGAGGAAACCAAACTTGATATAATGTGATTGATTGGCAAATTGTTATGGACCGTTTCTGGCATTTTGTAGCCTATTATAATTAAAACAAAAGCTTTTTAATTGATTTGTCTCTAAGTTAATGGGAATTCACTTTCTTGTGTGACATGATTATTTTGATCCATCTGTCAATATAGCCTCACTTTTGATAGCCACTAGCCAGTGTTGTGTAAAGGTAATTACTTGACTGAAAACACACATTATATACTGTACATCAGTGGTTCCCAACCAGGACCCCTGGGGGTACTTGGCCTATCCACAGGGGGTACTTGAGAAGACTCATGAAACCATAGGCCTACTGGTAAAATGCACATGATTGGGTACTCTCATGTTGTCTTGAAATGTATTGGAGAGAAACACCACTTAGTGTTCAGTTGAATACTTCTGGGTTGGACCTTTTGGTTAGGTTTATTAAATGAGAAAAACTAAAACAAACACTTAACAGTGATGTAGGCCTACTGTTTTCCAACCAAGTGGGCTGTTTGGATTTCGGAAAATGGAACCTTTGATGTCCACTAAGAACTGAAATTCATTTGTACCTTTCTTTCCATTATTGTGTTCTCCAGGTGGTCTGAGCCAAAGTTGCCTTAGAGATGAGTTGGGTGGCTCTGTACGCCCAGCTGGGCGGGGTGAACAAACACTCCACCAGCCTGGGGAAGATCTGGCTGTCTGTTCTCTTCCTCTTCCGTATCACCATCCTGGTACTGGCTGCAGAGAGCGTGTGGGGAGACGAGCAGGCTGGCTTCACCTGCAACACCCAGCAGCCTGGCTGCAAGAACGTCTGCTACGACCACTTCTTCCCAGTGTCACACATCCGCCTCTGGTGCCTACAGCTGATCTTCGTGTCCACGCCGGCCCTGCTGGTGGCCATGCATGTGGCTTACAGGAAGAGTGGGGACAAGAGGCAAATCATCGCCACGGCCTCACGAAGTGGTGGTGATGACAAGACCAGGCAGGTGGACCTGGAGACCCTAAAGAGGAGGCGTCTGCCCATCACTGGGCCTCTGTGGTGGACCTACACCTGCAGCCTGTTCTTCCGCCTCATCTTTGAGGCTGGCTTCATGTACGCACTCTACTTTGTCTACGACGGCTTCCAGATGCCTCGTCTGGTGAAGTGTGAGCAATGGCCCTGCCCCAATAAGGTGGACTGCTTCATTTCACGACCCACGGAGAAGACCATATTCACCATCTTCATGGTGGTCTCATCGTCTGTCTGCATGGTGCTCAACGTTGCCGAGCTGGCCTACCTCATCGCCAAGGCCCTGATGAGGTGCTCCGCCAGGATGTCCAAGAAGAACCGTGCCTACGCTCACCCTGATCACGTGACCCTGGACAAGTCTCTACTACAGAATAAAAAGAATGAGATTCTGCTGTCCTCTGTTTCCGATTCCTCCAGCAACAAGACTGTGTGAGGACAGCACAGTGCCTGTTCTTCTCCATTAGAGACTGCAGAGAACTAGGGAGTAGAAATCTATCAATATTTTGTTACCATGAGATGAGACCATACTTTTATTCTGGAATGCATGTAGCAGCTGAGGACCAGCCTAATCCTGAGTCTGTTGATGTAGAGGATATTTCTCTCTGTGCCCTACACTACTTTTAGAGTTGTAAAAGTTTAATGTGTTAGAATTGATGTATTATTGTTATTGATATCAATTTTTTTTTTTTTTTACATTTTAGCAGACACTCTTATCCAGAGCGACTTACAGTTAGTGAGTGCATACATTATTATTATTTATTTTCTATTTTTATTTTTTTCATACCCCCCGTGGGAATTGAACCCACAACCCTGGCCTTGCAAACGCCATGCTCTACCAACTGAGCTACATCTCCTGCCGGCCATTCCCTCCCCTACCCTAGACGACGCTGGGCCAATTGTGCGCCGCCACTTTTGTCTCCCGGTCGCGGCCGGCCAAGACAGAGCCTGTATTCGAACCAGGATCTCTAGTGGCACAGCTAGCACTGCGATGCAGTGCCTTAGACCACTGCCACTCGGGAGGCCGAATTTAAGGTGCTTGTATGTTTGCGCTGTATGTCTGTTCAGGGAGTGGGAAGTTGACCAGAAGGGAAAAATGGGCCTAGAGTACCACCTTCTGGTTTACAATGAGTTTGCAGGAGTTTGATGTTTTTATTGTGGAGAGCAACCAGAATTGGTTTACATTACTTGTTCAGCTTTTGTGGGAGACTTTACCAAAGCAGAAACTCACAAATGTGCAGTATAGCTCCAAGTTCTAATTGAGGCTCACCTGTACACATCGCTGCCTGCATTCTAACAGCGACCAGTGACATTTCTCGAGTACTAAAGCAATTTTAAAATGCAGTGCCTTGAGAGTCACTATCAGCAGTGTCAAATAGTGTATATGTAATACATGATGCTGTATATTGAGCACAATGTTTTCAGGAAAGATGGCTGATGCAGTTGAACATTCTGGGCAGGTTTCCTGGACCCAGATGAAGCCTATTCCTGGACTAGAAAGCATGCTCAATTAGGAATATCCATTGGAAAGTGCTTTTTGGTCCAAGAGTAGTCTTAAGCTGGGTCCTGGAAACTGGCCCTCTGAGCATTATGCCAACTGTGACAGACACGGCCTATTGTTGTCAAGACTGGTGGTAAACCTGGCTACAGAGCCTAAAAAGGTGTATCGTCTTTCAGCTTGTTCCATATTTTAGCCACTGAACTAATCACTGCACCTCTTTCAACGTGAGTAAGCAGGCTGATCTACAGGCAAAAATGGCTTAATGTGCTCTGTCCAAAAATACATGTAGAGGTTGGACCACCATAACTTGTATCACTGTAGTGACAATCTGACTGTTACCTGTGAAGAGGTAAGGACTTTCCCTCGATCTTCAGTTGTAGAGGCGCTATTTGTATTTTTATATTGTGATTATTTCTGTTTTTATTTTGTGACTGTTTGGAGGAAATGCCAAAGGAGTTAGGACATATCTATTAGCTTTCTAACTTAATGTTTTTTGAAAAATGAAGGATGTTTGATTTGTATTTTTGTATTAAATATCTGCACTTTGACCCCCAGTCTTGAGACTGTTTAATAATAAAAAAAGAAAGATACTTATTGCTTTCATACTATTGGACTATTGGTTGTAATAACAATGATTGATTGCATGTGCATCAACCTCAGTCACTGGGATGCACTTCTCTGGACAACCAAGAGAGGGCAGGAGGTTATAGAAATGGGTTTTGGGGTGGATGACTTGATTTGCAGTCTAACTTTTGAAAGCCATATATGACAAGTAAGTTCATTGTATTATAGTGAGGTGTAGAATCATAAATACCTAAATCACATCAATCTTTTATTTGACAGGCCTATGTTCTCTCCAGCATTCCAAATGAACTATTTCTCACAGGTGGGTTACTGTATAGGCCTACTGTATTGTCAAAATGGCCAAATTCAGCCACTATAGTAGGCCAAAGGTCAGATGTAAAAGAATGAACGCAGAACCCACTTTTCCAGGATGACATACACCCCCAGACTGCATAGCCTAGTTGAAACTTGACTGATTCGTTTTTAAAAAAAAGTTTACAGGGGCGTGGCGTGCATTGGTCCATGGTGATGACTTTCTGAATTCACTCATGCATGGTCACACAATGTGACAGTCGCGATGGCTGGGAACCGGAGGGAGCTGCGCTTCGCGGACACCCATCTCCAAGTTAAATTCGTCTCGAAAAGCTAACTTTTCTTGCGCAAGTTTGGCGGCGAATCCACGTGTAAAGAAGTTTGTGCATGATTATCTTGGCCTGGCTGCGTTTAAAAGAGTTTGGTAAGCTGGCAGGGCTGGCAGAATTTGGGGACAGGGGAGAGGGGAGGGCACCAGCTTCCTTGGGAGGTCTGTAGGCTATCCAACGCACTCAAAATATGGCACCAATGGCACACGGATATTGCTTTCGATATTTAAGTTGGGCTTCCTCAGTTTAAGGTATGATTGAAATTAGGTGTGAATATCTTTCCCGGCACTGTCGTCCTAGACCGTGATGCTGGTAACTCAATATCAATGCACATTTTATTTAATGACAATTTCAATGTTGAGTGGGCCTATTTAATTCTTATAAATTACAGTAGTAACCGTCTATTATAATCAGGTTTACATTATAGGATAACAAAGGGATGCTTAAAAAGAGCCAGTGGACACAAAGCCTATCTGGCATCCTCTGTGTTGTCGGCTTGTGTGAGGCAGCACACATTGTAGGTTACTGCAGGCTATCTGAACTTGATCAAATTAATCAATATGACTTATTTAATGTAAAACAAACCTTTATAAAACATCTGATATTCAATGTATTCGATTTGTATAAACTGATTAGACATTTTCTGGACTGATACACGTGTTTAGACAAAAAAAAAAGATCATGCAGCGTTCCAACCTTATCAGATATGGTATTCTAATAATGTAGTCCTTATACTAGCCTAATAATAGCAGTGATAATGCAAATACATTAAACATATACATTTTAAAGCATTCTGTATTATTTTATACAGTCATTTATGTATCCCATAGCCCAGATGACTTCAATAGTTAGTTAGTATTTCCCTTGATCAGCACTTCCAATTCTGATGAGACCAGCATTAATTTGGGGTGGGTCATCATCAGGTCCATCGAACAACACTTTTGGTATCGATTTATCTGAAGTTGTAGCCCTTTTAATATGTGTAGGTCTATAATGTTAGCGCTTCTTAATATATATTTCATATGTATTTGCTGTGAACTATATAGGCCTATATATATATATTTTATTTTTTATTTTTTTTAACAATATTTTAATAAGGATACAAACTATGGGGTGGCCTATTGATAAGGAGAGAGAAATAGGTGAACATTTTTATTTGCATATAAATTATTTGTCACAATGCCTGTCTTTCCAATCTAATTAACATCCTAATTCATGACGCCATACTAGTTATGAATCAGATTATGGTAATGTAACTTCAATAAGAGTGAAAAAATACTAGTAAACCAAAGAATACCCATCATTAAACAAAATAATATTTTTATGTGCCAGTCTGCTTAAATCTAAGTGAATAGGATTCTTTTTAGTTTGGGTTTGATGGAAATACATTAATGGACGAATATGTTAATTAATGTATCATTTTTTTCGTTACAGGTGTCATATATATTCTGAACCCTAGTCGATGGATTTATTACCCTCAATACAAAAACATTTGAGTAAGTTCCAACTATTTTATGTTTCTGCTTGTGTTTTGCTTTTGGTGTGAATAGTATATTGATAGGCATCTATCTACTGGCAAATTCATGTGAACAACGCTAACCAAGCGCTATATATCGATAACAAGGGGCAGGAGGCCTATTTGTCTTCATGCTCCTGTATTCAACAGTGTTTCGTGTGACTAGGGCTGGCGAATGTTGTGCAATGCCTTAGTTTCAAACATATATTCAGAGGTTAGTTAAAAATCTTTCTAAAAGCTTGTTTTTGACCATCACATATGGGAAAGTGTCATCTGATAATTCTGTTTGGTTTAACTTATGCCGCATGACAGGATACATTATTGCATAGTTAATAGCTTAGTCAATGCATGTAATTGTGAGTATGGTGTATTTGCATTTATAGGCTGCAATTTCTGATACAAATGACCATTCAATTGCCATTAAAAGAGCACACATTTTTCAGACTCAAACATCAAATGGCCTCTGCATTGGTTATTTTTCTCTCATCCTTTTTTAACAAGTGAGTTACAGATGTATTAGATTTAGCTAATTAATAATTAATAATGATCATAATGTTAAAGAGGCCTATAGCTGCCTCCGTTCTCAATGTAAAAGTCATTCTGTACATCATAGGATATAAAAGGCTATTAGATGTTGAAGATCGTATGTTATATCTTTGGACTTGACCCCTATGGCTCTGTTGGATCTGTAACAGTGGGAGTTGTGTGTGTCAGAGCCTACACACCGCAGCCCAACCTCTGCTTGCTGCTGTTTTTGAACATTATAATGTTGATCTCAGCACATGCCATCTGGGCAGTGGAGCGAGCAGGTGAGAGAGCGAGAAAGAGAGAGAGTGTATGGGAGTGCATGTGTGTGTGAGTGTGTGTGTTTGACAGTAACTGAGAGAAAGAGTGGGAGAGAGAGAGAACAGGAGAGTGAAAGTGTTAGCATAAATGTCAGGTTCATAGTTCTAAGCTAAATAGTGAAATAGGGGGCTTCACAAAATTATATGGCATTACAGAACATTTCTATACCGTTCACTTCCTTTGACCAATTGAGACAATTGATTCAGCGGTTTACGTCAATTACTTTTTCAAGGCCATTTTATGGAATTCATTTTAATAAGTGCTTAATGTGTTGTGCCAATGTGAAGTGTGATTAACCCTTTGTATGTTTGTGGGTGACAAGAACTCTGCTTTCTCGCTCTAGGTGTGTAGTGCTTCTCTGTCCATGTTTTTTTCGACTGCTGTTTATACTTTATGTTACACAGCATCACTTTGACAGGTTTCCTGACAATCTCTTTTTCCCCTCCTCCCTCTCTCCTCCCTCTGTACACTCCAGACTGTACTTTCTCCCTAGGCTAGAAATCTTGAAGCATGGGTGACTGGAGCTTTCTGGGGCGTCTGTTGGAGAATGCACAGGAACACTCGACAGTAATCGGCAAGGTCTGGCTGACTGTCCTCTTCATCTTCAGGATCCTGGTGCTGGGAGCGGCAGCCGAGGATGTGTGGGGCGATGAGCAGTCTGACTTCACCTGCAACACACAGCAGCCTGGCTGTGAGAACGTCTGCTATGATGAGGCTTTCCCCATCTCACACATTCGCTTCTGGGTGCTGCAGATCATCTTTGTGTCCACGCCAACACTCATCTACCTGGGTCACGTACTGCACATCGTCCGCATGGAGGAGAAGCGGAAAGAGAAGGAGGAGGAGCTGCGAAAGGCCATCAGACTCCAGGAGGAGAAAGAACTCCTTTACAACGGCGAAGGGGATGCAGGTGGAGGAAGAGGAGGACGACGAGGAGGTGGTAAAAAGGAGAAGCCACCTATCAGGGATGAGCATGGGAAGATCCGCATTAGGGGTGCCCTGCTGCGCACCTATGTGTTCAACATCATATTCAAGACCCTGTTTGAAGTGGGGTTCATTTTAGGTCAATATTTTCTCTATGGCTTCCAGCTGAGGCCGCTATACAAGTGTGCACGGTGGCCCTGCCCCAACACTGTGGACTGCTTCATATCTAGGCCCACTGAAAAGTCAATTTTCATCATATTTATGCTTGTGGTGGCTTGCTTGTCTCTTTTGCTGAATTTGTTAGAGATCTATCACCTTGGGTGGAAGAAAGTTAAACAGGGAATGGTCACCCCTGATCATGCATTGCTGCCTCGCTCTGATGGTGTGGGGCCTGAGTCCATGACTTCAGCCTCCAGAACTGCCCTTCCCAACCTCAGCTACCCACCGATGTACACGGACGTGACGGCTGGGAGCGGTGCGTTCCTGCCGCCCATGGCAGAAGCCTCCCTGGCAGAGTTCAAGATGGACCCACTGCAGGAGGAGCCCTCATCCTCCTACTACATGAGCAGCAACAACAACCACAGGCTGACCACTCAGCAGAACTGGGCCAACATGGCCACCGAGGAGCAGACTCGGGAGATGAAGGCCACCTCCTCCTCCTCCTCTCCCTCCTCATCCTCCTCCTCCTCTGATAGTGAGCAGCAGCCTCGTGACGCTGCTCCCCCCACCACCACCAGCAGCCCCAGCTCCAGTGGGGGCAGTTTGAGTGGGGGAAATGTTGATCAGGAGGGAGGCCACGTCACCACCACAGTGGAAATGCACGAGCCCCCCGTTATGGTCACAGACCCTCGCCGGCTCAGCAGGGCCAGCAAGAGCAGCAGCATCAGAGCCAGGCCCAACGACTTGGCAGTATAGTCAGTCCCCCTAAATAAACCTCCAACCTCCCAAAGCCCCAATGATTTTTCTATATAAAAAGTACAATATATATATATATATATATATATATATATATATATATATATATATATATATATATATTTGTTTTTTTATGGAGGCAATGTGAGGCTGGGGGCTGGAACTGGAGTTGTTGCCTAGTATATATCTATTAACATCAGTTGATATCAGTGCAATCGGTGAGTTGTAGCATACGTGTTATTATAAAAAATGCGCACAGTCTGATTGTGCAATGTGGGTTAAAATGGTCTGACAAGCTGAAGGCTTCGATATACTGGACATCAGGGGACTTTATGGTTCTAATTCCAGTTTAAAATGGCCAAGTAACTTTTTTGTTTGCTTTTGGTTTCAATGGCCTGGTATGTGTCAATGTGCTCTTGTCAACAGTGGTTGTTGTTGTTGTGTTTATTTGATTAACATAAAAGCCTATTTATTCCAATTAGGAATGATACTGTACATTCATCAAGTCGTTGAGTTCGGTTGGCAAATTGCTGAGAACCAACTTCGAATAAAATTGTTATGTGGAACAAGTACAGGGTGTTTTGAAACCACTTGTGTGTTTAGTATGTTTACTCTTATGCTGTTATACAGTTCCTTCAAGTTGAGCCTTTCTTAAAACAATTTACTTTAAACTATTTTTATGGTGTATCATAGAAAGTTGCTTGCAAGACAAACTAAATCCAACAACATGTATGCTCTCATTCTTTCTCTTAGATGAAGAATACTGTTCAATGTCAGCGATGACACCAATATGGGGATAACATTTACTTGTTCATTATTGAACTTTTATATTGTACTTTGACACTTCCTGAATTTCACAATCTAAATAACTTTTATTTTTATAATATTCAGGAAATAGCTAAGCTATTTTTTGTATTATGTGTTTGAAGAGTAAAAGTGGAATCTGTAAATGCAAAACTACAACTCACTGATTCACTAACAGGTCTGCAGGTGCATTTATCTGTCTTAGTTTTACCCAGGATCCACTTACTGAACAAATCATTTACACACAAACTATAACCGGATTATGGGTCAAAACTAGAAGTTGAATGTGTTCTTGTAGTCCACAGCTGTTATAAGGTTCCATGGTTCCAGCCCCTGCTCCTACATTTGATTCTCGAATGCAGAAATTAAGCAAATAAAGTATTATTTTTGCCTGAAATTAAAAAGCATACTGCCATGTGCACAATGAAAAGTTAACATCCAATTCTAAAGAGGTTGAAAACAAATATAAACCAAATGCTTCAATTTAAGAGGGTAAATATTATTGCTGCCATCATAAACACAATATCACCTTTTAATAATTGCATCTTCATGTTGAGCGAAACTCACTCTCATAAATCACGTGATACTTTATTGGTTTTTCCTAAAAGTGCTATTTTTTTTAACAGAATTGAATTATAATTAAATCTAATTTCAAAACTGTAGTCAGTTTGTGACAACCAAAACAGCTATTTGGTACAAAACTGACAAATGCAATGACGTTGCAAGTGCCATAACGCCAGGATGAAAAGTAAATCCCCATATCTTCTTTTTTTTTGCATTTCAGTTAACAACTTGATAGAAGCTCAACTATTACTGACTACTACACCTGTTGTAAGCATTGGGAAGCACAGGCTTCCGTCTAGTTAGCGTAAATGTAATATTTCACCTTCTAGATTACCTGAACCATCTTGAATACCTGAAAAGCTATCCAAGTAATTGCACAACACAATAATTCACTTAAAATAGGCCTTTTCTTAAATTACTTGTGAAACATGATTGGTATAGTACCACACTTGTACCAAAATGTATGTATTTCTTACATATTTCTTATACCTTCAAATTACCATATGCTAATAATTTATAGTTAGAGAAGGATCAGAAATAAACGCAATAACAAACATTCAATGCAAACTAAAAACCATAGTTCCAACCGTGGAGAGACTACCAGAACCATAGTTCCAACCGTGGAGAGACTACCAGAACCATAGTTCCAACCGTGGAGAGACTACCAGAACCATAGTTCCAACCGTGGAGAGACTACCAGAACCATAGTTCCAACCGTGGAGAGACTACCAGAACCATAGTTCCAACCGTGGAGAGACTACCAGAACCATAGTTCCGACCGTGGAGAGACTACCAGAACCATAGTTCCAACCGTGGAGAGACTACCAGAACCATAGTTCCAACCGTGGAGAGACTACCAGAACCATAGTTCCAACCGTGGAGAGACTACCAGAACCATAGTTCCAACCGTGGAGAGACTACCAGAACCATAGTTCCAACCGTGGAGAGACTACCCGAACCATAGTTTCAACCGTGGAGAGACTACCAGAACCATAGTTCCAACCGTGGAGAGACTACCAGAACCATAGTTCCAACCGTGGAGACTACCAGAACCATGGTTCCAACCGTGGAGAGACTACCAGAACCATAGTTCCAACCGTGGAGAGACTACCAGAACCATAGTTCCAACCGTGGAGAGACTACCAGAACCATAGTTCCAACCGTGGAGAGACTACCAGAACCATAGTTCCAACCGTGGAGAGACTACCAAAACCATAGTTCCAACCGTGGAGAGACTACCCGAACCATAGTTCCGACCGTGGAGAGACTACCAGAACCATAGTTCCGACCGTGGAGAGACTACCAGAACCATAGTTCCAACCGTGGAGAGACTACCAGAACCATAGTTCCAACCGTGGAGAGACTACCAGAACCATAGTTCCAACCGTGGAGAGACTACCAGAACCATAGTTCCAACCGTGCAGAGACTACCAGAACCATAGTTCCAACCGTGGAGAGACTACCAGAACCATAGTTCCAACCGTGGAGAGACTACCAGAACCATAGTTCCAACCGTGGAGAGACTACCAGAACCATAGTTCCAACCGCGGAGAGACTACCAGAACCATAGTTCCAACCGCGGAGAGACTACCAGAACCATAGTTCCAACCGCGGAGAGACTACCAGAACCATAGTTCCAACCGTGGAGAGACTACCAGAACCATAGTTCCAACCGTGGAGAGACTACCAGAACCATAGTTCCAACCGCGGAGAGACTACCAGAACCATAGTTCCAACCGCGGAGAGACTACCAGAACCATAGTTCCAACCATGGAGAGACTACCAGAGGAGAGACTACCCGAGGAGAGACTACCCATGGAGAGACTACCCGAGGAGAGACTACCCGAGGAGAGACTACCCGAGGAGAGACTACCAGAGGAGAGACTACCCCGAGGAGAGACTACCAGAGGAGAGACTACCCGAGGAGAGACTGCCCGAGGAGAGACTGCCCGAGGAGAGACTACCCGAGGAGAGACTACCCGAGGAGACTACGCAATGCTTTGCTTATAACAGTGTTACTCTTATTGGAACAATCTGTTTTTCCCAATGTATGTTACCTTTTCATTTCAACTATTTAAATGTACCAAACCACAAAAAATCTGTGTTATTTGCATTTGTCATTTTGGTTCTCAAAGTTTACATTTGAGTAAAAAGATAAAAGATTTGCACATTTAGGCAAAACATGCTGTTCTAAGAAGTTTATATTGGTAGGAGAGAGAGTGGAAAAGACACCAGACTGCCGATGTTTATAATCCTTAAAGGAAAATGTCTTAACAGTTAAACACAGCGGCTCTTTGCATTAAAGACAGTATTTAAAAAAATTACGTAAAATGTGAATATAGGATACATCTATAAGTTAAATCATGGTCTGAGACGATTGCAGAAAGTTTGGGTTTTCAAATATAGAAAAAAAGTGGTCTGTGAGTATTTCCTGTGTGCTCATTCAGTGCTTTCACTGTGTTCTCACAACATTCCTGTGACTCTCTAGTTAGCTTGTATTACATCGTCACACTAACGTTGAGAGAATGTTAGCTGGGTAGCTGGCCCTTTTCTTCTTCTAAACACAGCAACTTGTGTATCGTTTTGAGTTGCCCGCAAGCCCTTCATCCAATAGGTTAATATACAGTAGCTTTCTTCAAACTCTTGATGTGTGTCATGCGGAGTGTGATTTCTCTGGCCAGTCAGGGAGTAGGAACCATCTACATTATGCTCAGAACAGCAGCCTGTTTCAATGCTGTCTTAAGAGAAGTGCCTTGTGTATGAAATTTTGTAAAAACAAGTTGATGTAAATGTTAATTTACCTCAAATGTTTACAAAACTGTTACTAAATAAACTTTTTGTACCATATATCCGGTGTATGTGGCGATCAATAAAATTGAGCCAGTATGTGGATCTACTGTACTTGAGTATACATTTGCAACACACACATTCATTCTGTACCTTCATGAGAAGATCATATCTTGGGGAAGTTGGGATGCATCTTGTACAAGAAGAGCTCACACTCATTGACCTTTAAAAGTATCGTTCCCTCTCTTCACATTCCAAGAGGGGATGTGAGAATGGGATATTGCGCTGGAAAGGAGGAAGGAGTGACACCACTCCCCACAGTGCTGACTACCCTGCGAACAGACATCCACACATATAATTAAATTGAGACCAGTGTGTCAGTCTCACATGTTGGAGACAAACATCTATCACAAATCCATTAAGCACTGTCACACAGACCCAGCAACTTTTTGCAGCACCGGTGGACCAACTCCCCAACATTAAAGTTAATATGAGTTCAGCACAAAGGTGGTAACAACCAGGATAAAAATAGAGACAATCAACTATATTATAGTAAACTGCAATAAGAATTAAAACATCAATGTGGGAACCTCATAAGTGTCGATGATATCTACATTGGGCACTCACATGAGTCAATGTGTGATTCGTAACCTGCCTAAAACAACAAATGACCAGGCTAAGGGGAGTCTAGTAGAGAGCCTGGAGTCTTAAAGCAGAGCCTGGATCTGGAGCACCTGAGAATGAGGAAGGAATGTCCCTTCAGGCTGTTCCTGGAACTCATGGGAAGCAGGGACACAAAACCTACACATCTACAAATTACATGGACACCTGTTCTGCACTTGTGG